AACGCGGCGGCCTCTGACGCCAGGATCGGGGGCAGCCCGTGGGAAAGCGAGCAGCCGGAGGCACGCAAGCGGGGAAGGGCTTGCGGACGCGAGGGAGGACCTTACTGGGAGGGGGGGGGAGGGACGTGTCCGGCCGGCCTCGGGAGGGAGGCGGGAGCCCTGCCTGCTCCTCATCCTTGATCCCGCGGGGACGGGGACAGGGCGGGGCGGGGAGGTCCGTGCGAAAAGCTGCCCCTTTTCCTCCGGCGGCCGCCATCCGCTGAGAAGATCGACTAGAAAGAGCTTTTCGACCAAAATTAATCCAGGGCTACGATTTCCGTGTAGACAAATGCAGATCAGATGGGGACCGTGAAATTCATCAAAACAACTGACTAAAATTACACTCTGGAGCTGTAATGTATACAATGGCATGCGAGCTTCATTAGAGAAGCCACATCCGGGGGTGGGGAGAGAGATGAAGGCAGCTGGGACCCAGATTAATACATGCACAGTATCACAGCCCTCTCTCTCCCCCCCCCCCCGAATCCTATATTATTACGGCCCGGCAAATAGGATAATCTAAATGTGTTTACCAGAGCATTCCATCCGCAAATTGCATTTGTCCGTGCATAATTTAATAGAGGTGATATGTCTAAGGAGCTGGACATAGGATCTCTCCAGACTGAAGGTGGTGGTTGTGGGTTTGCTCAGGGCTGGTTGTTGTTCCATAACAGTTATGTAAATCAATGCCTTTCTTTTAAAACATGCTGGAGATGGAGAACAAAGTACAAGGAAAGTGATTGTTTCCCAAAGGATGACATGCCCATGATCTATTTTGCAAACACGGTCTTTAATACTGTGATCGTTAATGCAAAACCGATTCCCTTGTCGGTACAGTTTAGGATGCAGTTAAGGGAAAGGAGCTGTTTGGCCCAGGATGTGGTCTTAGGGAAGACTAAAAGCTGAGATGAAATTACACAGCAGATAGGAATATGACACCTTAATGTCATCCACAACAAAGATAGGTTCTCTGACTTGTTTCCTAAGGTTGCAGTCCTTTGCATAGTACTTACCTGGAAATAAGTCCCATTGAATTTAGTGGGGCTTATTTCTGAGTAAACATGTTTGTAGAATTGTGCTGCACATGCCTTTAAAAGGATGGAGAAGCAGGGAAAAGAGAAATGTCTGACATGGATTCTACTCTGCACACTAGAGGCAACTCTGTCCATGCATATCAACCTATCGCAGGTGTTTTATTATAAATGTATATCACAAAACAGGTATGATAAAACAATTTTCATTAGTATTGTAAGCTCAGTGCGTTACAATTTCCTTTCTGCTTTGAACACACACACTGTTACAGCTACCCTCCTTTGGACTTGGGCAGCTGTCAAGTCACTTGATGTCATTATGATGTCAGGTGATTGACAGTTGAGTGGTTCCTCACAACTGTCAAAGTTGTCCAGTGGTAGGTGGGGGAATGAGGAGTTCCACACCTCTGATTTAATGCAATTTGCTTCTGTTCACACAAATGCAGCAGTGCAAGTATCTGTGCTCTCTGTACTGGGGTAATGTTTGCACTGGCATGATTTCATAGATCTTTATTTAAAGTTACAAAAGTTATAGAAACTGAGGTGGTGCTTCCTGGTGGAGAACTGTACACACCTTGCAAATAATGGAGCAATAGAATAATGGAGCAGTAGAGTTGGAAGGGATCCAAAGGATAATTTAATCTAGAAGAATCACAGCTACCCTCTGAATTATCCTACTCCAGGGTCCCTATGTGTCTGAAGTATTCACATGTGCATTACACCTTTTGGGGAATCCTTCACTGGAGAAACAGTTCCTGCACAGATGTGGGTGGTGGGAACAGGGGGAGGGCTGTGTTTCTCATTCTGTGGATCCAGCATGACTACAAACAGCAAAACTCTGCAGAACCAAAAAAGTTTTGTTGTAATCTCCCCGCTACACAAGTACAACCCATATGTGACCAATCATGCTGTTGATCTATTACTTGTCTAATCATTAACTTAAAATGCCATATAAGAATTTGTAATCCATAGTAAATCATTTCGGAGGAATGATTAAATGTACTACTGACTAATGTAAAACAGTCCAGTTTCCATAGCAGTGGGCTGCTGCCAAATATTGTTTAAAAGGATAGAACGCGATGAGCGGGGGCCAGGGGGAGGGAAGGAGAAAAGGAAAAAGAGGATTTGTGATCTACTGTGACATAAATTATGGTAGCTGTAAATCTCTAATGCATCAGTCGCAGTTTGCAGATTATTGGGCTTAAAGTAGAGGAAGATGAAATTAACTATTTTAAGGACTGCCAGGAATCATGTGTGTTTTCATGAGGCTGCTTTGCAGAGAGTGTCTTTGACTATTCTTTATATGCTCTGCCCTGAAAAATTCTGAGTGGCAGCAACTTTGAGAATGTAGCATGACCTTGAAATACCACTGAATAAGAAGCCCCCGGAGAGGGGATTTCCCTAATCGGACTCCAGTGTGTTTCCTTGCAAACATGGGAAACTACTGTTAAAAATAATACCAGGGTGTTTTTATTTTTTAATTTGACTAAAAGTAAATTTGATTGAGTCAATTGTACGCCACGCTTCAGGGCAAATGGAAACAAAAATCATTAGGACACACAAAAAAAATATCTGGTGGCAATGTTGGCGGGAATGGGAGGCTGTGGGTTTCTTTTGTCCTTAAGGAGCTGTGGCAAAATTGGAGGCAGCAAGAGAGGCTCCACCTCACAGTTCCTCCATACCAGAGGTTTTCAACCTTTTTGAGTCCATGGCTCCCTTGACCAACAACATTCTTTCTGTGGTTCCCCGTGGGGAAAAGCGCTCCGAGCCTCAAAAGCCCAGTTGTGCCACCCCTTGCCTGCAGAGCAGGCAGCCTCTCAATCCTTTTTGAACACCCTCCCTTGTGGAGTGTTCCCTCGGACTCCTCTCCCCTCCCCTGCCCTCTCCTTGGGGGCTCTCCGGGCACCCTCGTCGCCAGGGCTGCTGCAACAAACAACCACACAAGCTCTTGGGAGGCCGAGACACAAGAGGGCATCAAAGGAGGGAGGGAAAGAAAGAGGGACAGAGGCCAGTGTTGCTTGCGGCACCCCTGACCATCATTCAAGGCACCCCAGGGTGCCACGACACACTGGTTGAAAACCACTGCTCCATACAATGCTTTGTTTCTTAAGTTGGCCTGGATTTGAATGCCACTTTCTGATTTTCAAGCCTCTCCACCACTGCAATTCCTGATGTGTGCTAAGGGTTTGGTTTTTTTAATGTTCAACCAGACTCAGAATAGAGTAGTTCCAGAAAATAACATCTGGTCCAAGAGAACGAGGGATACCATTCCAAACTCCCAAATCCTGAACCTGGTTGCACATTAAAAGAACAGAAAAGAAAGTCCTGATGCTCGTATTATGGAGTGATGAAGTAAATGCACGCACTCTTCAGCTGTTCAAGGGCACTTTGTTCTGGCTTGATATGTTCCAAATCTGAGTCCTAGTAGTGAAACGAGATGCAGGGACCCTGGTACAGATTAGGTTCTGACTCCCATATGGATTTGTATTTTACAGTAACTACAGATATGTGGTGGAGGGTCATGCTATGCAGGATTTGGGCTTGGAGAGTAGCTGTATGTGTATGGAGACCGCAGTGGCAAATTGTGACAAGAGAGTCAACTTTATGGACTGTCCCATTCTAAAATTTGAAGAGAAAGCTGTTTAGGGCAAGCAGAAACAGAGGTTGCCTCCCTATTGGCTCAGCAGTTGTTAAGTGAAGAAGATAAGCAACTTATCGCAGTTATCGCCTACAAACTCCCAGCAGCAGCCAGGGTTTGGTTCCTGCAGTTGCATCTCTCTCCTGCTCCCTGGTGTTCATTGGCGGTAATGCCAAGGAAGTCTGAGACCCAGAGCGGTTCCTCAATAGTTTCACCAGGCAAAGGAGGGGCGTGCAGTTCTTCTTCTGAGATAAGGAACAGTATGAATAGCCTGCTTGAGCTCATATTCCAAAACACACCTAAATGCACATTGCAACCAGCTCAGTCGTTCTTAGATAGCTCTCTTACAATTCTTGGGAAATGTGGCCCAACTCTGATACTTCTTAAGATTGCTCAGGGCAGAGAAGAAAGGGAAAGAGATGGGCAGCTAAGCATTTTTAATAGATCAACTCTCCTAGGTTCCCAATGTTATTATTTTTTATCTAACAGACTTGTGGATGTGAAATCAAACTGCAGTCCCTTAGCAGGGAAGACCGCAAGTAGAGAGCCACTTACTGTGGCTTTCCTTAACAGAATCATGTGTGTCCTATTCTAACCTCTGAAAGATCCTGCAATTGTGCCAACATCTCATGGTTTAGATGTGACTCTAAGCCATAGTTTAGTGCTTTGGGAACCATCCTAAGGTTGCTGTGGGTCTGCATACTGTTCTGTTCTGCTGGTTTCATGTAGAGATCATGGGGGAACAGAAGCACATGTAAGGAAAGCATGGTGGCATAGTGACATAGTCCAAATATATTCATTGGTGTGAATGAAATTTAGCATAACAGGCAGGCATGTCAGTCAATAAGCCACAGTTTCATAACACAACAGGTAATGCAGTATGACAGGATTAAGAGAATATTATTGTCAGGGGCTCAGGAGCAGAGGCGCAGGGGAGAGAGGAAATGGAGAGCGAAGGGGAAGAATCTGAGGGCAGCGGAGGGCAGAATGACAGTGACCCGAGAGATTCCATGAGCCTCTCCAGTGAATCAGAAGATTCCCAGAAGGGAGCGCCGATGGCCAGGGCAAGGGGGGTCCCAGGGGGGACACACCAGAAGCAGGGGGCCAGCGGAGACTCCCAGAGCAGTAGCTGGAAATCAGGGCCAGCTTCCCCACCGGAACGTAGTGGGGGGGAAGAGTCTCATAGGTCAGAGTCAGCGTCTCCTCCGGCAAGCAGCGACAGGAGCAGTATAACGGTCAGAAGGAAGGTGGCAGGCTGGGTGCGCGCGCCAAGTTCAAATGTAACCAGGAAAACTAAAGCAACATTTCCCATGTCTGAATGCACCTCAAGTCACTGCAGAAGGGCATTTACCCTCCCTCTCCTCCATGTGTTTTCCCTTCATTCCCCCAAATTTGCTTTGGAGGGTTGAGGGAGTCCTGAGAGCAGATTTGGGGGGAGGCTGGAGGGGAGGGGAGGTGATGGAGGAGAGGAAAAGTTCTGTTGTGCAAGTAGAAGTCACCCTGCTCACACAATTAGTTCATCATACCCAACCCTAGGAATTCAAATTTGCTTTGCTTACTTCCCATGCTCTGTGGATTAGCACACAGACATTGAAAGCCTTGGCTTTTCTATCCTCATGCCTCTCTCATGCTATTTTTATAATGATGTTTGGTAGGTACCTCCTCCACTCCCCCCATTTCTCCTATAGAAATTAATACTTATAGCCTGTCCTTTTCCAAAAGGTCTCAGGGCAGGTTGCATAAAATATTACAATTTAAAACAGTAGATCGATCGTTACAATGATTAAACAAAAACCACAGCACTAAATAAAATCACAGGAGCAGCAAAACAGGATTGCAACAAGGCACAGTTTGATAAAACTGACCTGGTGCAGAGAGCCTTCTTCACCAAGTGGTGACAGCTGTCAGCACCATGCAAAACTGCTGGTGGACTTCTGATCTGGCCAGGAAGACAGGGAAGAGCCAATTTGTCTGGTTATGACAGCTGGCCAAATCCTGGCATCTGTATGTCACTGCGGACAGAATGAAGCACTAATTCATATTATTTGTTCCTCTGCACGAGCCCACCAGTGGCTCTGCGTACTCTCAGCTGCAAGGTGACAGCAATACTTTTGAACCACAGTTTTTAGGAATTCTAGGCAACCAAAAAATATATGAGTACCTGTGCTGCTTAATGTGAGTTAGGCTCTACATGTGACCTAGAATAAAATTCAGTACCCAAGAGTAACCACTCACGTACTCTTTGACTCCTGAGAATAGAGAAAATCAACAGCCCAGGAAAAACTAGGTGAGCAGTCCAACCAGCCAGGTGGTTTTAAAATATGGAGCCAAATGCAAAATTTTTCACATTTGGAAGGAATGTTTGCTTGCATTTGTCTCAGGTGCCCGGTAAATGAGCAACACCTGTTCTCAGCAAGACCTTATCACCAAGCCAAAACCTCAATTGACAATCCTCAGTCTCTTTGGTTCCTATTTGTTCAAGTATATGTGGATGTTTTCAAGAAGCAATCTCTGTTCCTTACATAGAAGTGTCAGGGTTGCCTTTTTATGATATTTATGACCACTGTGGAAATAGTTTCTCATATGGTGGGGGAGATGTGTCACTGTAAAGATCTTCATTCAGAATCTCTTTTAGTTCTTGGAGACTGTCACTTGACTTGGAAATGTGATGAAGGGAAAGAAAGAATTTTATAAACTGAAAAGCAAAAATTCAGGTGCCTAACAAAAGCAGGTATTTTATTTTTTTAAAAAACTCAAACTTTCCCCCTTTTAATGTAGGTTGCACAGCCTGCCTCTGCTGAGAATGAGAGTCACAAAACACCAATGCATTCTTTGGGGACAGGTAAAGTCCCAGTGTGAGAACAGCTGTGGAGCTTATAAGGGCATGTAGTGCAGATCTGCTCTTCTAAACTAATTTTCAGGACCATAGGAAGGAGAGGGGATATGCTTGTTCAGTGTTGAGGAAAGCACATTCTGAATATGCTCAGAAACACCTTTTCCCCATACTATTACAGGTTTCTGGCATGAAAAATAGATTCTGGGGTAGAAATCTGGAGTTCTATCTCTAGTAATCCACTCCTAATGCTACTTTGACAAAATGAAAATAATTCTGTGTCGGAGGTAACAGATACATTTTTTTTTAAAAAAAAGGGGGATTGTATTTAGCAGAGAAAAATAACAACACATAGAAGATTAAAATGCTCCATAAATGCCGCATCATTAATTAATTGGAACGGCAATATCTGTGAACCAGTTATGGCTGCTGCTTCAGGCAATGCTCTTGTTTCAAGTCAGTAATTGAAATTCTGTCTGAGCAAAGACTACGCCAATGCTTCATTAACGCCACTAACCAGTGCATGTAAAAGACCTTGCAACTGAAATGCAGTGTACACATAGTAACTTACCTTCCGATTCTGGTGTCTGCAGGAAGATAAGCAGAGTAATTCTCATCTGCAGAAAAAGCAGTTTCAGGGGGTTGACATTATAGTAACAAGGAGGGCTCAAAGCGGGAATTAGTGGCCTGGAGAATGGAGGAATTCCAGGATGACTCAATACTTGATGAAAATTCATGCCAATACCTTCCTGGGCTGAATAAGGAGGGATGTACTGCACCACTGTAGCACCGTGGAAGTTTATAGCCTGGCTAATCCTAGTGAAAACAACAGATTGTCCAATAGGAGTCTGGCCTGTGTCAGATGCTGTTCCTTCATTTGGGCTGCATGATTTGCAAGCAATCATTTTAAACATGCACACAGCAATCAGCAAAAAAGTCACGCCTTACTGAAAGCACAATAGGCCCGAGCAACTGAGTCCATTCGAAGCGAGTGACCCTTTCATATTATGCCCATCCCATCACGGTGAATGTAATTCCTACTAGCCCCAAAAACGCACCAGAGAAAAGTAGTGTGGTCATCTTTGTGGTCATCAGACACCATGAGAACTGCTCAGTTAACAAGGAGTGAAGGAAAACACGCAGGGGAAGGCATCTTGAACAGCGCTCCATTCCATTACTGTGCAAACCTGACCTGGAATGCCTAGGAAGGAGGAGGTCCTTGGTAGGACATTCCAAGTGGAAAGTTTGCACTAGTTATACAAGAACTCTGTTCACAATAGTGCAGTTGGGTAACATTAGACTCTGGACTTAATCATCTCACAGGGGATAGTAAGGGAAGCTGTTTACTTATTTATAAATATATGTATACATACATAAAAAGGTAAAGGTACCCCTGACCATTAAGTCCAGTCGCGGACGACTCTGGGGTTGCAGAGCTCATCTTGCTTTATTGGCCAAGGGAGCTGGCATTTGTCCACAGGCAGCTTCCAGGTCATGTGGCCAGCATGACTAAGCCACTTCTGGCGAACCAGAGCAGCACACGAAACGCCGTTTACCTTCCTGCCAGAGTGGTACCTATTTATCTACTTGCACTTTGACGTGCTTTCGAACTGCTAGGTGGGCAGGAGCTGGGACCGAGCAACGGGAGCTCACCCCGTCACGGGGATTCAAACCGCCGACCTTCCGATCTGCAAGCCCTAGGCTCTGGTTTAGACCGCATTTATAAATTATAGCAGAGCAGTTCACAATTGCACAACAAAACCTTACAACAAAAAACACATTTAAAAAGTCAAAATCAGAAACCGCTAGCTCTTGTGGAAAGATGTGCTCTTATTTGCCCTGCGTAAGCCTGACAGAGTTGAAAGGTTTTCAGAAACAGACAGCACATGCTGAATCGGTGTTGGCAGAGTATTCCACAATACTGACCCAATGACACTAAAGGCTCAGTTTCTTGTCAAAGGAGCTTTGCCAATTTGGGGAATGAACAACGATGTTCCTGCAGATGATCTCAGTGATCAAGCTGGGATATAAGGGTTCAGGTAGTCCCTGGAGTATCCTGAGCCTTAAGTTGTTCAGGGCTTTGTAAATGACGACAAGGACCTTGAACCTGGCTGGGTAGTAGATGGGCAGCCGGTGGAGATGGTTTCACATATTGTCAGCCTGATGTCCCCCTATCAGCAATCCGGTTACCACATTCTGCACCAGCTGACGTTTCCATTAGGGAAAAAGGGGCACTGCCCCACCAACCACAGTCTACCCTGAGTCAGCCTGCACCTGCCTGCCTTTATACTTACAATCAGTCTAGGAGATGGTCCTGCCTATTAGCTTCCCCCTTCTCTTCAGCTACCCTTGTATAACTCAGCAGGGAAGAAGAGGACAGAAGTAGAATTAGTTGGCTCTGCCTGTCATTGGCTCTGGCGCCACCTACTGTTGGGCTCTCTGCCTTCTGCCCTACCAGTGACAATGGGCAAGAACCACCACTGTGATAACCGGTATGTATTGCTCCCCAGATACCCACCAGCTTCCCAGATAAGCACAAGTGTAACCTGTTCAGAAGAAAGTCAAGCTGTGCTCAACAGACCTTATCCCAAGGTAAGCATAGATTACAACTAAGAAATCTGAAGCTTCACAGAGAAAAAGATATGGAAGATCAGAAACCACAAGGAAAACAAACAAAGCCAGGAATGTGGACACCGGCCTCACTTCCTGCTCTGCCAACACCTGCACTTTACATTTTAAAACAAAAAGCTTGAAAAGGCAATCCAGATTTGGGCTTTTAAAAAAATAAAAATAAAGAAATAGATTATCTGAACCTATGCCAAGTTTACCATTTTAAACCTACTCAACACATCATAGTACCACCCTGACTACAGGATTTAAGTGGTTTTAAGTGCCCTAATGCTGAAAACATTTAGAGGCTGCAAAGTGGAGCCTAGATAATTTCCCTGCTCTTTTCCTTGCATCAGCCAAGGCCACTGAATCTTTGCAAGACCTAGGTCTGGCATGGAATCCAAGGGCTAGACACTGGTCTAAGCAAACTAGGGTGGCGAGACGAAGACAACACAATTGGCAACACTACAGCACCCACTCAGAGCATCTACTGCCCCGCAAGAGACACTGCCTTTTATTCAGGGTTGGCTTCAGGCTTCAAGGGGCCTTTCTGCAGACTTCCCTGGCAGTAGCAGGTGAAAAGCTATATCTGCCCTAACCAGATTCCTATCAGATTTGCACATCTTTCTGAATGGCTATTTCTTCTCTTGCAGCTTGCAAAGGTGACCTTGGAAGAGTCTTCTCAGACTGTGTGGCCGAGCCCTTTATGAAGCGTGCCAAAAGGTGTTTATTCATTGCTGCATTTTACAATTACTGCTAAGAGGTACATTTGTTTCTCATAAGGATTATTTCCTCTTTTGCGTCAGAACTGTAATAGGAAGTTCAGTTCTATGATTTCATTTTATAGTTGCTGTTCCCTGGCTGGCACTGCAAAGTTAAGATTAGCACACCTTCTAAGAAGCTGCTCTTTATAGCGTCTCTCCTTGTAAAATCTCCAGGCAGAATGCTGCCATCAGCGCTTCTATGTTCAACATGCCTAACTACATTAGTACAGGCTTCAGAGAGTAACACCAGCTTCCTAACCCTTGTAGTATCTTTCAAAATACTCCCTTGCCTGCCTCTCAAATGCCCTGTGGGGAACATTCTCACAGTCATTGGCTAGAGACAAAGGAAGACGGTTTTTGCCTGCTCATCTTATTTCCCTCTCCATTTTGGAGTAGTTACTGTAATTATTTAACTTTATTTAAACTCTTAACTCATGACAGAATTGGGAGAATGTCTTTCTGCATAACTACACGAATTGTCATCTAATGAAAGCTCTGCAAAAGCGCTCTACCATGCTTCTAGCTGAAACTGATTTTATTGGTGCTCACTCAGTCATGAGTAAGTTTGTTTCGTATTGGAGGCCTGTAAAAACATACAATTCATAGCAAACTAGGAACCTGGCAAGTAGCATTATGAATATTTCACAATCGGGGCACTACTCCTTCAGTTAAGCCTTCCTACTTTGAGAAAGTGTTTAGGATTTTCTGCAGAGGCTGGATTCTGGACTGCTTTGATTACTTGCTTTGTAGATTACATTTTCACTGTAATAAGGTTTTTATGTTTTATAATAAATATGTGTATTAAATGAAAAATCTGTGTACTGTGGAAGTTCTTGGGAGTCGATGATCGCAAACATGTCAAAAATGTGCCCCAGCATTAAAGAAGATAAAAATCTTTTTAAAAGCCTGCAATGACATCATGCAAAAACAAACCCAAGGCACTCAGTATATCACAATAAATGCAGCATGTGTTTACTCATAAGTAAGCCCCATTATGTTCAATGTGTTTTACTCTCTAGTAAGTTTGGCTGGGATTCATTAGAGCTCAACCTTCCTGTTGCAAACCTGCCAGTTCAAGGTACCTGCAGTGTCCTTTACGCTAAATCTTCTCTAGTAATTCCTGGTTTATAGATGAGCAAATAGCAGGTTTCAGTGAGAGAGGTCAAACTCACAGAAGAGGCCTAGTGAAAAATAAATGGGTCCAGTTGGTATAAGCCCTGCACTGTGATTTACACTAAGAGCAATTCGCATGAAATCAGTCATTACCACAGCTGAAGGGTTAGAGCATTAACTCTCTTCATCTCCGATGTAGTGCTCTTAACCACCAGCTAAAACTGATGTTCATGGGGATTAAGACTTATGTAATGACTGTGAATGCTCTGAATTAGACACCAAAGCATTTGTTAGTAGGAATGCAAAAGACTTTTGCTTTCAGTCTCACTGCATTTCAGACTCTGGGCCCAAATAATTCAGCAAGTGGTAGCTGCTCAGTTTCAACATTTTAAGAGGAAAAATATTTGTAGAACTACTTTTTAATTGACTCTTCGGTTGCAGCTTCGACACTTAAGACAATGCAGATTAAAGTACATAAGAGGAAGAACAGCACGAGTCAGTTCCAATTTCTGCTGCTGGACTAAGTGGCAGATAGGTCCCAGAGCTAGGCTATAACAAGTGTTATGTATTTGTGTGTGGCCCACCTATTCTTCAGCTGTTTTAACTGATTTTAATATTTTCTCATTGTCATAACCTGCCCTGGGACCTTATGGTGAAGGGTGGGGAAGAAATTCAGTAAAATAATATCAATCCTGCTGCTCCAATGAGCAGCTCTTTGAGCAGACCAAGGCATACTGTTTCCAAAACTGGTGTGCCAAATATTTCTGGGATGCCCACAGGCAGGGTATGGATACAATAGTGACCCCCCACCACCCCCTTCTGCTGTTGACATTGAGTATCTGATCATGGAGGCAGAGGACCTATCCTCCGTCATTTGCCTAACGCTTTAAAAAAATCCATCTAAACAGGTGGCCATGACCACATCTTGTGACAGCGAAGCCCACAACTTAATTACGCAGTGTGAAAAAGCACTTTCTGCCTTCAGCTATGTCCACTCTATGTTCCCCCAGAGTTCTAATATTTTGAGTTGGCGAATAATTTCTCTCTCATTTTCTCGCCATCATTTAAAATTTAATAACTCTGTATCATGTCCATCCTCAGTTGGGCAGGTACCACAAGCATTACAGGGGAAGCGCAGCTGAAGCTGAACTGAGCCCCTCCCATGACAACTCCCCCTGTAACATTAAATAAGAACCATGTGATACCATCATGTCTAGAGATTCCCTGCCTGCTGTATGCAGCAGCCAATGAGCTACAAGTAGGGAAACACTGGAGGCTTTATAATGACACATTATGTACTAGAGTAGCAGCCGCGGATCCTGCGTAACTTGCAGTTTTGGCTCTTAATTCTATAGGCTAAAACTTGCTGTTGGTCACACCACTCAAGTGCTACAGTCACCACGTACATTGTGCCATAATGTTTAATCAACTGAAAATCTCACATGTACAATTTGTTAACATGAGGGTCAGCCCAAACACACACGCAACAAACTTGGTGCTCTGAGGTCTCCAGTGTCTTTACTTTTGAGTTTGTCAACAGCCAAAAAAGAAAAAGGAAACAGAAAGACAAAGCCACCAGATTTCCCCCTCCTTCTGCTAGATGTGTGCCACAGCACTATGTTCAGATGGTAGCTGACTTGACTTGAGACGTACATTGCTTTGGGTATTCCAGTTACATACAAGGTGCCAAATGAAGAGGTGTTAAGGTGCTGGGTCCTTCGTGTCCCAAGTATTTCTCTGTAGATTGCCTTGGCTTCGTTTTCCAGTAACAGAAATCTTAGCTTGGCAGGCCTTCTACTTTCTTGCCCATGGAGCTTGCTGCTCTCCTTGCTGGCTCAAAGCTCCTCCATCTCTCTTCCAGGCTATTTTCACCCTGTAATTTAACAGTCCTCTTTCTCTCCCCTTTTATACACCTTCCCTCTTGAGTATTTCTTACAGCTGGTTCAAAGCGGATGCCAATGGATCATCTGGGTGATGTAAGGAGAGGAAGAAAAAACACATTCATTATTTACAGCTGCTCGTTTGCCCTTATAATTTTGAGATGGCTCAGAGGGATGAGAGAGTGTGGATTAAGTTCTCAGAAGGTGAATCACATCCTGACATTGTATACAGTAGCTCATTCTCTCTTCAAGCAACCAGGTTTGATGCATCAGCATTCTGTGCTCTGCAAAGAAATAACGAAAGGGTACATATGTTGGCATGTTTAATCTCTCTATATTTGCTATTTCGATTTATACCCTGCCTTTCTACATATAGTAACCCAAGGTGCCTAAAAGCAATGATGATAATGTTCTATTCACCAAAGTGGTAAAATTACATCTGGTATGGATACAGCCAGTTTAATTCTAACTGGCAGAGGCCAAAGAGTACTTTGCACATGGTGAATTGCTTCATATATATCATCGCCCATGGACAATATAGAAGTGCAAACTTCTGACAGGAAGCCAATCATGCAGTGTTATACTACAATGAAAAAGGACACAGGAAACCCTTCCCATGCCATGGTGCATGCAAATCAGTACGCAACAGCAGCACCTGTGAAAGATCTTATTTGTCAAGTAAGAAGAGGCATCCAATCATGCCATGGGATGCAATGGCTTCTTGAATTCATTTCTGGTTGATTCAGAAAAGATAGGGCAAAGGCTCTGAAATATAATGATGGAAATGATGTAATGTGAAGTGTACATTCAGATGGAATGCCTGTGACTTGTTTAACTTGTTAATAACATTTATATTCTTCCAGGGAGCTCACAGCAGCATAGCACTAGGGTCTGGCACCCAGGTGCTGAGAAAACCAAGAATCTGCTTATTTATTAATTAAAATATTTATAGGCCGCCCCCTCATATAAACTATCAGGTGGTATACAGCAAACTATGTAGGTGAATAAAACAAAAAGTATAATTTAAAAAATACAAAATCATAGAAATGAGTGGCTCCTCTTGAAAAGGTTTACACAACCGAATAGGCCTGCCGGCATGAAAAGGCAAACCCAAGCAACATCACCATGTACCCACCCAATCTTCTCTCCTGCGTCCCCACCCCTCATGGCTGCTTTCTAATCTAAACAAAAAAGAAGGGAAGAAGGTATTTGGAGAGCCAGTTGTTGGTCTTCCATGTAAAGTCCAGTTTTAAGCACATCCATTACCAATCTTCTCTGGTAATGGATGTGCCAGTCTTCTTTGACTAGTGGGCATTGTGGGGTGTGTGGCACAACTCAAAATGGCCGCCATGTTTAAAAGACCAGAGAAAGAGCCAAGACCTCAAAACGGAGTAGGAATTCCTCCAACCCCGAGGGGGGAAATAGCTACATAAGCCAATGCAGTGCTTGCTCACTGTGAGAACCTCTTTGTACCTTCCTTCTATTCAGAATGAAAGTAAGGGTGGATGTCCAATCCTGGCATTCAGTGAAATATGGGCCTTGTTAAGAGAGCCTGCCCAATGTCGGAGGGGACACTGCCAGTGCAGCAAACAGGAACTGAGCAGGAGCAGCAAACAGTGTCTCATGTATTATTGACTTCTGAAGAGATTTTTGCTGGGACCTTTTGTGGGTGCCACCTGAGGTATTGATATGCCCACTGGTGTCCACTTTGGCAACCTCTGCATTAGCCCATGTGCAAAATGCTCAAAAAATTTAAAAGTACAAATGATCTTACCAGTTAATAAAAGTGCTGTGGTACGGTGGAGGATTTTCACTTAAAGGCAAATCACTTGTTACCATGCTAGGAGTTATTGTTTGCAGTGGACAGTCAGCGAAATAAGGTGGTGGCGGTGGTGGGAATACCATTACAGTATCACCTACAAAAGAAAAATCCAACACTTTTAAGGTCACATTTATCTGCAGTTCTCTTGGGAGCAACACGCAAGATAGCCCTACTTGTGATGTGCATTTCATTAAGAATCATCGCTCCCAGGCATTAGGGCATCTTCAAATCATTTGATTAAACTCTTATCAGTCTTTCCCTGCTATACTTTGTTGGAAAACAATTGCACTTTTATTAGCATGCAGAATATTGTTATTATTTATTAAATTTCCACACTGCCCTTCATCAAAGGATCACAGGGCAACTTAAAATATTTTGAAAATGCTTGGAGATTAAAGCCTTAAGATCTGCATTCGTCTAGACACACAAATGGTGTAACACCATAAACTGGAAGGTCTAAAATGCTGTTGTAGGGGCTACTGAGACAAGTGCTCTCAACACAATGTGAAGTAAAGGTAAAGGTAAAGGTACCCCTGCCCGTAGGGGCCAGTCTTGACAGACTCTAGGGTTGTGCGCCCATCTCACTCAAAGACCGGAAGCCAGCGCTGTCCGCAGACACTTCCGGATCATGTGGTGAGCGTGACGAAGCTACTCTGGCGAGCCAGAGCCGCACACGGAAACACCGTTTACCTTCCCGCTAGTAAGCGGTCCCTATTTATCTACTTGCACCCGAGGGTGCTTTCGAACTGCTAGGTTGGCAGGTGCTGGGACCGAGCAACGGGAGCGCACCCCGCCGCGGGGATTCGAACCGCCGACCATGCGATTGGCAAGTCCTAGGCGCTGAGGTTTTACCCACAGCGCCACCCGCGTCCCAATGTGAAGTAGTATTGCTATTATACTTTGTAAAATAGGATCCATTTCTCTCATTAATTTCACCACTGTTCTGAGGAGTGTACTGTACTTCAAAAGCAGTCCTTGCAACTATACTTTGAGTCTCAGCTTCTGGAGTTTATCTTCTTACCCACCCTGACTTCTTCTTCCACCATTCCCACATTCCAGCTCCAAAATTCTTTTTCCCCCCCTCCTAATCCACCCCTCAAGTGCTGGGGAGGAATGGGGCGTCCTTGCAAGTGTCTCCTGTTGCTGACATCTAGGGACTGCCCACTTGGAAGACTTCTTGGCTGTGCCATCCACTTACCCACTGTAACTTGAAATGCTTCAGGATCCAGCTGCTCTTCTTCATTGACAGAAGACTCCTGGACGAAATTTATGTTTTGTTTCTTTTTAATGTGAGCTATCACAAAGAAACACAATCCAATGAGCACAATCAAAGGTCCCATGGTCTGAACAGAATGAAATCCACAATCCTGGAGTTCAACATTAGAAGTATTGCTATGGTTAAACTGCTGGTAGCGCCAACCTGGGCTACATCCCGGAATCCAAATGCCAAGGACGCTGATTAGCATCCCACTAGTTAAAAATAAAAAACCAAAGACAAGGAACTGAGCAAACTGGCAGTTTCCTCGACAAAAAACAAACCCGTACACCTGGTCATCTTGCAATTGCACCTCTCTGAGGTAGCCTTTAGCTCTCGATTGCGCCAGAATTATACAAACTAGTCCAGTAACAGCAAGCAGAGGCCCAATGATTTTGAGGGCTCCTTTACAGTCACCAAAGGCACCACTTGGGCACGTCTGCAACACAAACATCGAAAGCAGAAATCCAGCACATAACAACGTAATGCCAAAAACGAAAAGGAAAGAGATAAGTTTCCTAGGATGTCCATTATCTCCTTCATGCATGGAACCAGGAACTGGATACATTATTATTATTTTTAAATCCCTCTTCAAACCAAGGAATAACAAGTTTTCTTCTATGGAGATCAGAATGACATTACCACTTCAGTAGGCCTGAGAACGAAAACGAAAAGAGGACTATGATTATTAAGCCAAGGGCAACAACAGATAATTCACATATTGAATCTGTCACTTATTTACACCTGCTGGGTGGGAAACAGATTGCTCCCGGGCAGAGTTGGGGATATGACACGAGAGAAGAGGAAGTTAGCTGAATCCTCTGCTTGCTCAGGGGGTGGTCTTGCCTATGAGAATGCCATGTTACATCAGAATAAGAGGCAGCTCAATCTGAAAATACTTTCACTGAAGTCAGAGTAAAGCTCAAGATGCAAGCCCCACCTTTCCCCTCTCTGTTACCACCTCCCCACCACATACAACGGATGGCAGGAGAGTCTGACCAACTCTGCAACCAGTTGTGGCATTAACCCCAGGAGTACATAAACCAGAATATAGTTCACATACATCAACATGTGTGGCATAGGGCCATAGCCTTCTGCCTCCATGGCCGGAGAGTTTGGAACACAAGTGGGAATAGTTCCCTATTAGGAACTGTGGTGAAGGAGCACTCTTTGCACAAACAACAAATAATGAATAAGGCTAGTCTTCTCAGATCTTTTACAGATGCAAATAACTACCAAGAACCTCAAGCATAGGCTGCAAAGACAAGGCACCTCACACAGATAAGCAAGGGGGCAAAGGAAGTAAAAAAAATAATGTGTGTGTCTTGAGCAACACAATGTCTCTCAACCCTCTATGTGTACTTCCTTAGCATCTCTCACTTGGAGGTCCCTGGGTCAGTATGGAATTTGCAGTGAAGGGCTCTCTGTTGTTTACAATAGTACAAGTAAGCTCCTACCATGCCTTCACAACCTTCCCCAGCCCCAAAGGTAGGTTCTCAGGGGATCAGATTGGAAAAGAGTGTTGGCTGCAAGCAATGATGGACATGTATCAGCGTTTATCGCTAGTACTGAGGCAGGGCTGCTCACTCTTGCAAGTACCCCTGCTCAGATATCCACATGGCTCTCTCTTGCTGCACCAGGGACTTGAGGTTTGTTTCAATGAAGCTAGTAAATGTTGTAAACTTAATTCAGTAGAATTGAATAAACTCTCAGGGTAGCAGAAATGTAGAGAGATCGACAGGCTGTGGTGCATAGCTAGAGCAGCAGCCTACCTAAAATCTGGTGTCCTCCAGATGTTTTAGACTACAACTCCCATCAATTGATCATTGGACATGCTGGAGTTAGAGTCATAAACATCTGGAAGGCAGCAGCTTGGCGGAAGGTTGGGCTGGAGTGCTGAGCTCTGACTGAGAGAAACCTGAGTTCAGATATCAATAGCTAACCAGCTCTGGGAGGCTTTATGCAATCCTTCTTAGATTAGTGTACCTCACAGGGGTGCTGTGGGGGATAAAATGGGCCAACTCCATGTAAGAGGCCATTTAGCATCTTGGGATATAAATGTGATAGATAAATAAAGTCCATGGCAGGCAGGCAGGCAGGCAGGAAGAGGCAAGGATTTGCATGCACTTAGAAGGACAGAAGTCCAAAGTCCACTATTAAAACAGAAAGCAAACACTCATTTGTGTTGCTGGTCACAACACAAGTTAAATTGCAAACCTTCACACCTGTAAAAATGTAATTATGATTGCAAGGATTCCTTGTAAGGAAATAAAGGACTGCAGAGAGTCCATGAAGAAAAATGCAGTTTGCTTCCTAGCCCCAAACCCACATGCACAAAACAGGCCAGGATTTTACTCCTCAATGTGGTATACATGATCCAGAGGGGATGAAATAGTAGCTCCCCATCTTCCCCAGCACTTTATCCTAGCTGGATTGCATAAGAGGGTTTATTCCATGTGATCAGCTTCAGCTCATAAGGCAACAACTTCAACCCTGCTCTTATCTCTAGGCACCTGCCCTCAATAAAGGAGGAAAATGACAGCACTCTGGCATCATGCAAGACATGCTGAATTATAAATCAAATGGTTCCACCTATCTGAGACATGTTGGGGAACAGCACAGACTAACCAAAATATCCCAGTCCACTGTGTGGATACAGTTAAAAAAGTCCTTCCAGGAACACCAACACGTGGGGCGGAGCTTAACAAGTCACATGGTGCTTTGTTTAAGGATGTTGGGAATAGTAGCTCTGTAAGGGGTAACCTACAGTTCCCAGGATTCCCTGCGGGAACTAATGCTTTTTACATGTATGGTGTGTATGAAGCCTTTGCTACAGCTCAACAGGTCTGGATCTGTCCAGTGTTCATATGAGAAACTGTCTGATAAGCCCCTTGTAGGCTAATATTAGCTTCTTGAAGTGATAAATTAGGCAATGAACATTGCTGTAGGGTAAGGTAATTAATGCTGTGTACACATTCCTGTTTACTCTGTATCCAATGCATCCCCACTGGAAGCAGTGTACACCCAATGTTAACTCACATCTTTCCTCTATGTATCCTGTAATTTCTTAGGAAATGCTGTGCTTTGATCATGTGCATTTTCTCCAAACCAGCTTCGATCCAAATGGGAAAAAGAACAACTTAGCTGTGTTTTAAGCCCATAATGCATAAAACACCTAAAAGCTATACAGTACACTGTGAAGAATTTACATCTTGCCCCTTGCAAGGGGCTCTGTAAGATTTTCATAACGCAACGACAGCTCTTTTACTCCATCACAAGGGAACAGCATCCCTGGTCTCTATTGTGGGGATATTGAAAATAATGGAACACTTACAGGAGTATGAGCTTTTATGTATTTAAGAGAATTCATATAGCACTTAATTGTAAATAGAACCTCTAAACGGTTTGCAGAGGTTTTACACGTGTAGAATAATTGTGCTCAGGATGGGATACAGGAATGTGCCTGAACTCTCTGATTATCCGTGTGCAGAACGCGGTGGGCAGAGAGAGAAAAAGCAACATACACATCCTGTGCAGTTTAGTTTGGCACTGCAGATCCTCAGGTGTGCCAAAGGGCAGCATGGCCTTTAAGTCCCTAAAGACACTGCAACGAAAAGCGCCCCACTCACAGATAGGGTGCTTGTGCATGGAGGTTTTTCCAGAAGTGATTTCTTTCTACGTTTGGTAAATTTATAGCATCAAACTGGAAGCAGAGTAAAGCCTTCCATAAATAAAGATTCATACTTCCCTGCTAAAACATGATAGAAAGTCATAAGACTAGGACAAATGGAAATAATTTGAAATGATATAAAGTCTACATAAAAGAAAAATATGGACGTCTTTATTGCTGTTTTAGAGGAAGTGTCCTTTCCTCACCAATCTTGTAGCAATGTAATTTAGCAGACACAAATATATATAAAAGGGAAGTTGGACATATTTTTTTAATTCTTTCAATACCACAAAAGAATGAACACAAAGAACTCTCTGTTGTGGGTTTCACACTGGGAAATCTAGCGCCTATGCTAGAAAATTTATATAGTTTCATTTTCAATTAACTTTAATCTGTAAAACTAAGGAAGTTCTACCATAACACATTAAGAGTGCCTATTTGGTTTTTGATGAAGTCATCAAAGCTTGCCATCCCCACAACCCCCACATTGTCTCAATGTAGAATGTGCCAACTATACAATTTGAAGATCTGGCATTTATGTGCTACCCAAATTTACCCATAGTGAACTGCAGCAAAGGAGAGAGGAAACTAGGATTCGAAGTATTAGTGAACCTAAGGTCATATGCCATGGGAATTATGAAGTCAAAACAGTAGAAAAGATCATGATGTACACTGTGGCTCCAACCCAATGTGTATTTACTCAAGAATAACTCCATGAGACTTTGGAGTAAACATGAACAGGATTCATAGAAACCTCTGAATTAATCTCTCTGAATTAATTTCCTGACACTTAACAGACACTAACACAGAATCAGCTAAAATGTGTTGTGATTAAATCCTGTTTAAAGCCAACTCAGCAGCTGTAATGACTGACCAGAACTCCAGGGGACTTCACCGTCACTTAACAGTGAGCTTTGCTCCCATACATTTCAGAAGTAAGGGGCTTACTCTCAAGTAACTGGGTACAGGACAACAACCCAAGTGTAGCTAGATCTGGGTTAGAATACGAGATACCAGCCACCCACAGACTCCCACTGAAAACTAAGGAAACTAAAACTTTATTGAATTAGGAGCTTTAACCAGATAACTAATAATAATCTTGCAAATAAGCATGTGTGTGTGTGTGTGTGTGTGTGTTTATAAAGAGGAGTTTTTAGTTTGTTAAAACTTGCTGAAGCTTTAGGGTTGCTGCCCCTTTGTAAACCAAAACCAAAACACAACACCCTTTTGAGAAAGAATCATAGTTCAGTGGAAGAGCACATGCTGTGCATGCAGGTGGTCTCAGGTTCACCCCCTGGCATCTCCCGATACGCTGGAGGAAAGACTCCTGCCTAAAACCCTTGAGAGCCACTACTAGTCAGAGTAAACAATACTGAGCTAGAGGGACAGGTAGCCTGACTCAGCACACAGCAACTTCCTATGTTCCTAACAATACAGTGAGATGTGAGGTCCTCATTCCATCAAAAAAATAAGGACAAAGAAATGAACAATGGGCTTCCACCTACAACGCAAGCAGGATATTGCGTATGACATGTACTGCGTGGCTTCCAATATATGCGGTTATCTATGCTAAAGACTGATAGCATTAAAAGCTAGACATTATTCAAAATCAAGAGTAGCTCTGGATGTTAATAGATTGCTGCCAGACAGATGCACAAGTGACTTTTTTCATTCAATATAGATGTTTATTGATAATGACTGAAGAAAAGATAAACACATGAGGAACACGTAGCTCATAGACAAGGGGTGAAGAGTCTTCAGCCTTCCAGTTGTTGTTGGACTTTGACTCCCTTCAGCCCCAGCGAGCACAGCCAAGGGCAAAGGATGATGGGAGTTGCTGTCCAATAACATCGGGAGAGTCACTGGTTGCCTGCCAGAGATGCATATAAAAGTATGCCTTAGCAAGCAGCCATGCACAAGTGCACCTTTGAAACTTATAAGAAAAGATTAGGGTACATATGGCTGGAAGCACTTCTGCAGTTAAATCTGAAGCTATTTTTTTGTAATCAAATAGGACCATTTGTTAAAGTATTGAATTGCATTTGGGAGACCTGGTTCAAATATCCGCTCAGCTGTGACCTTCGGCCAGTCACTAAGTCTCAGCCTAACCAACTTGCAAGGTTGTTGTGCCAATAAAATGCAGAAGTGGGTGCTCCTTGGAGGAAAGGCAGGAAATAAATGAAATATTATTCTTTTTTTTAATGCTGAGTCAACAAGAGCAAAACACCCCTAAAGGATCTGTTGACATGCTCCTACTGAAGAATGAGTTCAGCAATGACTTTGAAACATTCTTTTCTGCAAGTATGCATACTTCCCCATTTAGATTGCTAACTTTTTTTACACAGTTTGCATGCATCCCCTTTTCCCATAACAAAACATTAAGAATGCCAAAACTCATTGTGTGCAGTGTTTGTGAAAGGAGGGAAATCAGTTTGCTAGTAAGACAATAAATGTTGTGTCATCCTACTACAGTTAGCAGGTAAGGAAGGGAATATACTAATCCGATCTGGCACCAGCAACCTGTACACTGTACACACAGACATGGTTGCTCCTGGGTGTTATTGGTTCAGCAGTAAAGGTAAGGGCAGAGAGCATGACCTGTAAAAAGGAGACAGCATAGGAACATAGGAAGTTGCCCGATACAGAGGCAGAGCACTGGTCCATCGCTACTGACTGACCCGCAGCTGCTCTCTACGGTTTGAGACAGGGCATGACTTTCCCAGCCCAGCAGATGCTCTACCACGAAGCTGCGGCCACACTGCATGGGGCAAGAGCGCCCATTCCTCCGCGTGAAGAGCGGCGACCCCTTGCACCCAACGAGGACACCCTGCAACCCCGGCCTGAGAAATGAAACGAGTCAAAAGCGCGGCCTTTTCCCAAGGACACACCTGGCGGGCAAGCGCCCAGCCCGAGACACAAGCAGGCGCTTTTACGCACGCCATGTCCACCCCCGTGATGGTCGGCACGTACCAAACCCCCCCCCCACCACCACCTTAAACGCCACCCAGAGGAGTGCGGCAGCATGACAGGAAGCTGTGAGGGGGGAGAGAGAAAAGCTGCAATACCCTGAGGATGGGGAAAGCGTCGGCCCTCGCCTAATGCACCCGGAGGAAGGCGGGTGGGCTGTTGTTTTCCTCCCCAGAGGCGGGAAAGCTCCAGCCTCTCATTGGCGCTCTGGGGGAAAGGGAGCCTCTCTTTCGCCTCCTGCACCTCGGCCCCCGCCGCCATTCCCGCCACGGCACCCAGGGATAGGCTCCCCCGCCTTCGCCTCTCTTCCCCCCCTCCGCCTCTTGACCCGAGAGAGGTTGCTGGCGGCACAAGAAGCGCGGCGAATACCTCCAAGCAGAGCGGCTCGAGGAGCGCCGCCTTCTCTTCGCTGGGGGGCGCGGAGTGAGGCGCTGCGCCGCTGGCCGACAGCCGGGCCGCCTCCCTTCGGCGTCGGGGGTTGACGTCGCTGGGTTGGGGCCGCCCGGAGTGACCTTGAGCGGGAGCCGCGCGGTGATTTTTTCGCCCTCTTTCCCTTCGGTCTCCGCTTCTGAAGGGAAAGAGAGGATTCTTTACCCGGCCAGCGCGCCGTCCTGTGCGAGGCAAGCGCGCCCTCTGGGGTGGAGAAGAAGCCCCCTCAGCACCGGGCGGGGAGGCGCGCCTGCGTCCGCCAAGCGGAGGGCGGCGACTGGGCAGGGAAAGTGCCTGAGGGCTGGGAGAGCAGGAATGGGGGGACTCTGTGGCTGCCCGGAGGGGTCCCTCATGCTAGGGCAAGGAAAGAAAGTGGGCTTTGAAATTAGCAGGACGCTCAAGGAGCAGAAACCCCTCTAAGTCCGCAGGTGCAAGCCGACTATTTCATTGCCAGGGAGAATTAAGCTGCCACCTAAATAAATAATAGATAATTTTGGATATATTCAATGCAATAAGAAAGGGCCATGCAGGAAGAAGCCAGGCTTCAACTTGCCATTTCCCGTCTTGGGTTCTCTGTGGCAAACAGGCACATTTCATACTGTCACATTTTAAACGGCTGCAGGTTCACCAGAAAATGTGTAGTGGAAAAGACAGTGGCACTGGAACTCTAGAAAATTACCACATATGAGTTTATTGTGGAATCTGTATTGCTCCCACCTCAAGTCAAGCACATCATGGTCAAAACTCCAGCTCCTACTTTTTTAACAGCAGGAAGTTTGTTATCTACAACCACTCCTTAGTGTCTTCTGTCTTTTGTCATGTGTGATTACGTTTTGGTGGGAGATAGGTATCTTTGCGCCCCTTTCCATTTGCTCTGCACCAGAGTACAACTCAGCCATTTGGTTCTACAGACCCCAACACCAAAGGAAACCTTCAGTATAACCACCATGAAACGTTAGCTAGGTGTTTAAGGCAGATAATATTTCCTTTTGCACACTTCTTGGTAATTAATTTTAAAAAGTATGCACACTCTGGTTCAGAACTACATGCATGTCTAGCACGGGAAAAGGTAGCAAAAGTCAAGGAAGGCATGTGAGAGAGGAAGGACAGAAAAACACAGGGCAGGTACATTCCATCAAGCTCTGCTTGCTGGTATGGATGGCAGAACAGTAATGAATGTTGAATGAAAAATAAATGCACGGAAGCTAATGTGTCAGATGTATACAGAGAAAAATCAGATCAGAGCGATACATTTGCAATATGAAGTTCTTCTGTGGAAGCATCCTAACTACAGTAGTAATAATAATAATAATAATAATAATAATAATATAGTCTAATACCACCTCTGAATCTTTTCAGGATTGAGTTTCGGTTTGTTGACCCACATCCAGCTTCTAAACACCGGCCTAGCACCTCAGCTGCCTTTCCTGATTCAGATGGAACAGAGTTAGTTGTCCTTCACATACTGATGACACTTCACGTCAAATGACAGTTCCCATGGGCTTCATATAGATGTTAAATAGCATGGGGAACAAGATGGAACCCTGCAGGAGACCACAGGAAAACTGCCATTGCCTTGAACAGTGCCCCCCCTACTTTCTGGAAATAACTGTGGAGGTAGGAGTAGAACAATTTGCTGTAAGTACAGTACCCTAGTTCTCATGTTGAGCCCCTTCAGAAGGATATCATAGTATTTAATGGTATCAAAAGCCTCTGCAATATCAAGAAGAATGAGCAAGGCTACATGCCGTCATTCCATCTCTATCCTGACAAATGCAATTAACTAGGATGACAGAGGTAGCTATGACCTATCCTGAAGCCAGAGATGGATCCAGACATTACGACTCCTCCATGTATCCCTGAAACTGGACTGCCATCACCCTTTCCAACACCTTTCACTTAATGGGTATATTTGTCATTGGGTGGTAATTCTTTAACAGTTCATGGTCCAAGGATGTCCTCTTAAGACGGCAGTCCACTCTCCAGTAATTGTACGTTTAGATGGTCTACATTTGCCAGCTTGCAACTAAGGGTTCATTCTTACATTGTAGTGATAGTATAGCTGCCACTGAGATCACAAAGGGTTCCTAACCAAATGGGCAGCTATTTTAAGAAGCGGTACATTGACCCAGTCTACTGTGGTAGGATCCAGCCAAATGTAGGATTTTTACTACAGTAATTGAACTCATTCTAGCAAATAAATAAAATGTTTGACGCAAAAAGTGTTTTAGATTAGAAACTTGCACACTCAACGTTCATGGAGGTAGCCACACCAGAATAGTTGGCATAGCTAACCTCTGGCACTCCAAATGCTGCTAGACTACAGCTCCCATAATTTCTGGCCTTTTGCCATGCTGCCTGGAGTTGATGGGACTAGAGTCCAACAGGGTTTGGAGGACCTCAGGTTAGCAACGGCTGCCATGTAAAATTGGCTCCGCATTGTATAAAAAACAAATGTACAGGTGGTGTAGACAACAAAGTTTATAAGCTCCCAGTTTAACCAGCTCAGGTCTTCCACTTTTAAGCCGCTTTGGAAACACAGTTTTATACATTGTATAAATAGGCCCTGCCACATATTATTTTGATTACAGTTTAGCTAACTGGCCAGGTGACCTAACCATGATAGGAGATATGTCTACCCTATGCAAATACAGTCGAACCTCCATTTATGTAACCCTCTGGTTACGTATACTTCAGGATGCGAGCGTGACAAACCTGGAAGTATTTTACCGGATTTCACCCTGCGCTTCAGGTTGCGGAAAACTCTGGATCCGACCGGACCTCTGGAATGGATTCTGTTGGCGACCAGAGGTACCACTTTACTGTCCCCATTGTTTGAGCAAACACCAAATAACTAAAATAAACCTGGATGGTGAAAGTATGTTGCCTCTGTGAGGTTACTTCTGGTTTATCACCAGAGACACAAAAGAAAGGACTTGATACTTTAACATAGCAGGAATACAAACTGCAGAAACAGTGTATTTGGCACTGGAGTAGATGTAGATAAGAAAATACAGACTTTGAAATTATTGAGTGAAGCCTGTTGGCTCTTGCTCTCAAATAATGTATACTGTATACAGTGGTACCTCGCAAGACGAATGCCTCGCAAGACAAAAAACTCGCTAGATGAAAGGTTTTTCCGTTTTCGATTTGCCTCGCAAGACGAATTTCCCCTATGGGCTTGCTTCGCAAGACGAAAACGTCTCGCGACTTTGTTTTCTTTGTCTAAAAACAAAGACATGTTTTGTTTATAAAGTTAATTTATTTTCCCTTCAATTTTTGAACTGCTCTTTACAGTATGTGTGACTTTAAAGAGCAGTTAATAAACTGTTGTTGTACCAAATTTGGCTTTGTTTGGACTTTTTTTGACCATAGGAACGCATTAATTGATTTTCAATGCATTCCTATGGGATTTCGTGCTTCGCAAGACGAAAAATTCGCTAGACGACAAAAATTGCGGAACGAATTAATTTCGTCTTGCGGGGCACCACTGTACACTATCACAGCTAAAAGACAAGGCGGGACACTTAACAGAGTACTTCAACTCTGGCGTCACAAACTTTGAATCAAAATAGTTTATAATAAAGCTAGCAATGCAGAAAAGCAAAACAAAGTCCATTTGTGACAGTAGTTGTTACGGTGCCCTTATGGTAGTTGTTGCAGCTGATATTGATGTTTAAGAGGATATATTATCTAATAGTTATCTGTGTTGCCCTAAAATGTGGATATATATTTTTACTGTATTTTTGCATTAGATTTTTATTGGTGATATTCTTAGGTTGTAAAATGTTTAGATATTTTCTTTGAAATGTGAAGTGGTATATAAACTACATAGCCCAAGGATTCTGAAGAAAAAGAACTTGCTTTCTAGATCCAGTCAATCATAAGTCTTGCTGGTTCAATGGGACGTCCTCCAAAAGAAATCTGCAGAATGGCAGTCTTACTGCCTCTTTGGGAATTACTCAGTATGATGGCTTGTCATAGCAGTGGTGCAGTGGTCCTTCTTCCTGCCTGACTTCTCCAAGTGGTGAGCACCAGTAATGGTACTGGCCTGTGAAAGCACACAAAGTTTCCATCTAATTCCTCCCCTTACTAACAGGAAGGGGAAAGAAATAGCAGGCACCCATTTAGGAGAAGGAAGAGGAATGCCTTCTTTAAAATCAGGGCACATTTAAAACTGATGATGGGATCTTTGATTAATTACTGTAGCTCTGTTTGTTATGTTTCCAAACACACCCTCTTTTTTTGGTTCTAGCAAAGCACCTGGCCTCCTGAAAATGGGGGCATAAGTGCAAGAGTGTATGTGTGTGGTGCATGTGTGTGTGTGTGTGTGTGTGTGTGTGTGTGTGTGTCTAAGAATGCACAGCCATAATATCCTATTGTGCCTGAATTTTCTGATACAGGATACATGGTGCAATGTTATGTCATATACCTTACCCTCCATTCCCACAACTTTCTTGTACGGGAGGAAAGGAAGTAGAAAACCAAACCATTTCCTGTTAAGTGGAAAGACAGACTGCTTTTGGTATAGGACCTACTCGAAACCCGTTGCTTCCTTCTGCCAAATCCCTTGAGTTTTTAAAAACAAAAATGATACAAAGATCCCATTAAGTTTTTCTGTCCAATGACCCCCCTACAGAAAAATAGAACCATCTGCCCATAGGAGGCTGCTAGGTAGCATTTAGGTATCATTTAAAAGAAAAGGGAAAAAAACCTATTGTACCACATGCTTTAATAAAATACAAACATGTTAAAAGTATTTCCTTTGTTTGAAAAACCAACACATTTTATGTGAGAAGACTGTCCTTGACCTGAGATAGCATATAAACAGCAGAGTCAATTTATAAGTTATATATTATATGTTTATTATGGGGTGCAATATTTTTTACATTTTGTGAAAGATCAGATGTATTTACAATTTTTCTAGGAGATTTATATTGCTCTAATTTACAGTTCATACAAACCTAAAACCCTTTAGAGTTGTGTTTACAAATTCTGTCAAGAGGCAGCTATAAAACGGATCACTTTTATAAAGAAGCAAGATCCAGCTTGCTACATGCAGTTTTTCAGATATTTGTGGTTTTATACAATTTCTAGAGTTCTTTACAAATATGCTAATAAACTTGTATGGCTTCAGAATTGTAACCTGCACTCTTTGCGAATGTGTGTTTGAGAACACTTGGTATTAAGGCTAGATTAAAAGTGCTGAAACTTAGCTTTTCCACGAATTTAGAAATAATACATGATTAATAATGAAAAACAAAATAAACTGAATTTCAATAGTAAGGATTAAACTGGTCAAGCAGTTTTGATTGCATTAGCAGATTACAATTAAGATTCTGGTAAAAGACTGTACCTTTTGAAATGCCAATTTATGCCAGTTTTAGTTTAAAAATTCTAGTAATAATTCAGTAAAGACTAACATTTTTAAATATGAAAATCCAATATATATTGCTGCAATGAAATCCCAGTTAAGATTTGATAAAACAATCAAAATGTTTAAAAAGCAAACTAATTCGCTATAAATCTTTTGACTGCAACCCTACACTTAGTTATGAATGTATAAAATATGACTAGACCAACATATTCAGCCCAGAGTTTTTTCAGCATTTTGGAGGCAGGGCAGTGGGGGACGACTCCCACCCAAAATTAATCTGGTCTTCAGAGAATGGGTGAAATCAAAGAATCTTGGGTATGTGGTATGGGATTACCGTTAAACGGAAGGTGGCATTTTTATTTTTATTTTAAGGGGGGGGGAGCTTTGCTGTCAGTTCAAGAGGCAACTGGGTTGCCTTCAGCAGCTTGGCAGCCTTCCCTTTGAAATTAGGGACAGAACACCCCATGGAAACTACTATATCATTGACAAATGGTGACAGACACCTCTTTTCCTTTCAAGACTGCTGCTGGGAACAACACTATGTCATGACAGTGTGTCATTCTTACAGGACATTCTGTTTCTAATTTCAAAAGGAACACTGCTCAGGGCAACACTACTTGAAATGGCAGTAAAGAGTTTATTTTTCTGTTTGTTAAAAATGAAAAAAAACCTTCAGCCACTTTGAAACGCAAGCCCATCCTCCAGCCAGAAGTTCCTAAATTTTGTTCCTGTCTCCCCAAAATCTCTGATATTCTGTCTCCTTTTGCAGGAGATTAAAGTGGGGGAGAGGGGAGGACAGGATACTTGGCTCAGCTTGAATATAAATTCCTTTGAAATCTATGTAACACGTGCATTAACATATGCACTTGCCACTAGTTGCAGCCTTTATAGTGTGTTCCCATTCTCCAAAACTTGTGGCTAAGAGCATTATATATCTACATTTTATATATAAAGCTGACTGGTCAATCCAATACTGATTTTATAAGCATTTTTATATTTAATCATTTCCCCCCTAGACACTGCAATTCAGAAGTGCACAGAATTCCACACCCCCTTAACTTTTTATTTCAGGATTTAACAAGTTCTTAACAACACAATACATAGCAAGCTTTAAAAGTATGAATTTGTGCTAAAAATGATCCCACTAGATCACTTCTGTTGATGTTTAGAGCCACTGTGTTTAAAAAGTGATGAATCCAAACATTCAAATGCTAAGTTTATCAATTTTGTTGAAATTAGCATGAATGACAATTTTTGTTCTGCTCAAAATAAACATTGAAAAATATTACGTCTCTAAAGCTACTACATTTACATTCATGTCACCTTTGAAAGCACTTGAAACTTCAAAACTTTATAGTTAGCAAAAGGGAATGCTATAATTATTCTTGTATAAATTGTTTTAAACTTATTTAACACACCTTCAGGATTTTACACATCTTTGGTGATACTGAAGTTGAATTTTGATATCAAGTTGTTTTTCTGTGAATATATAAAAGTCAAGCAGTTCCCTTTACAGTGGCTGCATTTATTGCATTCAACCCACAAGGAAGCAATGTAATATTTTAGCGGCTGTTTTAGAGTTATTTGAAGTTTCCCTTCCAAATCCCTGCTTTAGGGAATTATGTAGTTGTACATATTACACAGAAAAACATCAGCTTTTCTGTATGGAAGATCTAGACATTGAAAAAAAGAAATAAGAGGCATATAGACATTTTGATAGGCACAGTTTTTAAAAGGCACAAATGTTACACATTCCATATAAAAATAAATTAATCTACAGCATTAATTAAAAATTACAACTCCCATAAAGTTAACTAATGGCAGAAGTAAATATCTGTTGTCTGTTGCAATTTTTTAAAAAAACATTGCACTTTACATTTTTAAAACCATCTTTTATAAAATAATATACACTTAATTATATATGGTATATGAAAATCAAGTTATTTTGTATACGTATCTCTAACCAGATATGGCACATGAATATACAAGAATGAAACAAAAATTACTTTGCCACTTTTTTAAATGAAATGGCAATATTGAAACTGAAAAAAGTATACTTCAGTAATATTTATAGAAAGCTAAAATAATGTGGTTGCTTTTGGTATCACAAAGCACCACACCTTTTAAATACCAGAAATGACTGCTATTTTGGCTTTGAGGCTACATAAGTATTAAGCATTTGCGTAATCTTGTTTCCCAGTATTTCAGCTGACCACCTACAGATAGTGTTGGAGTTCACTTCAGTGCTAATAAAATAGAGTTTGTTTTAAATGACTTATTTTGGAAAGTGCATTTTTGTTGGATATAAGACTCAAAAACTAAGCAACACATTTTTAAAAAAATAAATGCATGTTAAAATAGTGTTGGAAAGGTAGTAAAATAATGAATTTCTATTCATTGAGAGAACTCATTTCCCCCCACACTGGCTCATCAGCAATCTGCCATATATCGACCTGAAAGACAGAAAAAGCTTCTGTAGTTAATACCTTTTCAATAAAGTGAAAAACAGTTATACTAATTACTTACAAACAATTTTCTTCTATTTAAAGATAACAACTAAGATCCACTTGTCACATACAAAACAGCCCTATTTGCTAAAGCTGCTAAAATATGCTAGCTATATAAAAGACAATGCTGTAGACTGTGCAGGCGATTCATTAATTTGACTTATTGTAAATTGATGTATATCTCTATATTTCTTTTAACAGCTTTTAATTGACTTGTGAATCTATAATTGAATTTGTAATGGCTTTTAGTCAATAAATGATTTACTGATTCTTGAACTAAGGCTATATTTTTAAATTACCGTATTTTGCCACGTAATGGTCACATTTTTTGTGCCAATTTTTCCCTTCAAAAAAAAGGGGGTGCGTCTATTATGAGGTGAATTACGGTAAGAAGCAACAACATGATATGGACTCCGGTTCTCTTAACAGGGCACTGTTGCAATACAAAGCAAAAGGCACAGACTTCACCCTTTCCGCTGGATTTTGCCTTCTCCCAGCGTGAAGCTCTGTTGGGAGAGGTGGCGGCTTCAGTCATTGTTAAGAGCTCTTTCTTCCTGGGTTTCTCAAGGCTATTTGCTCGTGCAGAGGCGGAGGAAGGTGGTGGATGGGCAGTGGAGACATTTGCCCACCTGTTGCTTCCCCTTCTTGGCAAGTCCAAGGTGGCGGCACTAGTGGCAGTGGCAGAAGTAGCAGCCCGGGCCCGGCTTTGCCTTGCCTTGTCTCCTCTAGCTGGCAAGCCAGTGAGGGCCTGGACTGCGGCCCTCACTGCCTCAGGAGCCCCCTGTGCCTACTCCCAGCTTGCCTCAGAATTACCTCTGCAACTATTACGCAGGGTGACTATTACACGGTGGTGACTAGTATGCAGTGAAATACGGTATGCTTCCACATTTCCACTGGCCATAGCAAATAGGTTCCTGTGCTCTGGTGACACAAGTTCCATTCTTCTCCCCAAACCTGGAACTTCAACCAAAGCAGCAAGTCTTTTGCCAGTCTTAATTACAGGAAAGGCAGGGAGGGAGCAAGCCAACAAGGGGAGAGACAGGGACAGGCAATCATAATTTTTGGTTGGCAAACACAGCCAGCCAAAAATGGTGGCACTGTTTTCAATGTTTGAATTGTATATGTTAGAGAGCACTCAGTTGCTTATATTCCAAGATGTCAAGTCAGTACAGAACTTAGGTTTTCCCCACACACTTTTCTCAACAGATATATTTGTAGAACATACACTAGTATTTGCCATTGTAAATGTTGTAAAATGTGAAGGGGAGATTCGTGTCAAAGCACTGTGACTGACAGGGGAAACTCTCCTGAGTCTACCACATTACAGAAAAACGTTTTCCCTTTGCACTCATGGTTCTGAGTATAGCAGAACCACAGTGAGTCACAGTGTACTTTCAGGAGGTATGTTTGACTTCCATGCAAGGGCAAACTGGTACTGCATTAACCACATCCCACTGATGATTTTAAAAAGTAAGAAATGTATGCCCTATTATGATTATGCTTCTTACCAGTGGCAAATCTCTTCTTAAGTAGGGAAAGCCGGTAGCCAGTGCCTACTAGTTCAACGTCTACTCCTGAAAGTGTGCTTCCTTCACTGATAAATTGCACTGCAAGTGTTGCTGGCTTACTGGGTCCTTCTGAAAGGTCAAATTTGGCTCTGAGGGAGCCAGAGCCTATTCAGGGGGGAAAAACACACAAAATGAATAATAATTAAGGACTTGGTTTGTAATGCAACATCTAGCTGGATGGGAAATAATTTGGAGGATACCTTGATAAGTCAATAATACAGGCATGTACATTTCAGCACATAAAAAGTCAACGTCTTCAGTGGGGACCTCCAGTCCATGGACCTATTTAGGCCCAGTAGGACTTCTAATGTGGCTTGCAATGCCATTTCCCTCAAACCACACCCACTTGCTCTACACCTGATGTAATATGATGTGGTTGAGACACAGCTGCAAAGGAGCAACTGGGATTTTAAGCTTCCAGTTGGCACTTGGGGCTCGCTGACTGCACTGATCAGCTGACCTAGGTCCAGGTAGTGTGGTAGAAGGACTAGAGGAAGAAGTGACCACATTTTCACACCCTGCGCTTGCTCACTCTCTCATTCAAACTTATCCATGGTTTCCTTTCATTTAGTTTAGGATAAATAGGCAAAACCACTATTTCTCATTGCTATTTTGATGACCAAAGCGACAGCCTATAATATCCAAGGCCTACTTTAAAACTGCAAATATATGCTTGAATTTATTTTTGAATGTAAGGTAAATCATAAAAGTGCCTATCGAACAAAAGAGACCTAGAAATACATTAAAAGGTAAAGGGACCCCTGAATGTTAAGTACAGTCATGGACGGCTCTGGGGTTGCGGCACTCATCTCACTCTATAGACTGAGGGAGCCGGCTTTTGTCCACAGACAGCTTTCCGGGTCATGTGGCCAGCATGACTAAGCCGCTTCTGGCGAACCAGAGCAGCGCATGGAAATGCCATTTACCTTCCCACCGGAGCAGCACCTATTTATCTACTTGCACTTTGACATGCTTTTGAACTGCTAGGTTGGCAGGAGCAGGGACCGGGCAATGGGAGCTCACCCCGTCACAGGGATTCAAACCGCTGACCTTCTGATCGGAAAGCCCAAGAGGCTCAGTGGTTTAGACCACAACGCCACCTGCATCCCACAAATACATTAGTAGGCATCTTTTTCTACCTGAAAGGGCCCCTCCCAAGACATGTAAATACACTGATATATATAATACATATAAAAATGTGGAAAATGTATAAAATTATCTATATACCAGACACACCATTAAGTGTGCATCAGTTTTCCACTGCTTACTTGTTAAATTTGAAATAGAAGATAAACAAGAAATATATACTGGTTAACTTTAATTTTTTAAAAATACTTTCTTACCTCCATTTTCTGATTTTTCTGAAATACTAGATAATTTCCATAAAGCTTTCATCTGCTCTGAATTCCTGTTAAGAAGTAAAGTCTGGTTATTGGACTGCAGCCTAATGGCAAATTTTTATAGAACTCCTTTCCAGGTAAAGGTCATACAGGCTGGTTTCCTTTTGAAAGTTCAGTGCCTACTGATGACTTCTCTTTTTAATTCCATCAGGCACTTTAATTTAAGTTTGATTTTATAGTTTAAATTGATTTGTACTTTTTTTGGTATTGTATGCCTGTAAACTGATAAGAGACAATCGTAGCAGGATATATATTGCTTAAATAAATAAATATTTTAATATTTTCATTAACTTTAATTTTTTTCTTTTTACTTAACAAGAATATGCTAGATGCCGGGCAGAACAAGGAAATTAACGTTGTAGTCTAAAATATCTTGGAAAAGTCATTGTTTTGTTGAAGGTTTGTACTAAAGCAGAAAACCTAGTTTTCTGTGTATTATCTTTCAGGAGATGTACAGCACCCCTAATATCAGTACCATGGTGTGAAAAATTTAAAAATAAAAGGATTGCTTTTCACAATGTTTCAGATGTAAAACAGCAGCAGCATAGTGGAATGAATTCCATGTAGCATCAGCAGTAAAATAATAATAATATTTTTTAAAAAAATTACCATTTTGCTGGAGGAAGTGACTGCATATTCATTACACCTCCATCAACTGGTACCATGACCTGTATATTAGAAAGCATAGTTGGCACTGCCATAGAGGCCGGGTTGTATTTGTAATCGACTCTTACATCAGTAGTGTTACTATTGCACTTCCAGTACGTAGCAAGATTCAGAGGTGTAGATTGGATGCCATTTGAAGATACCTTTGAAAATAATCAAATAATGACTTTTAGGTCCAATAATGAAAACTATAAAGTTTCAATTTTGTGCTGCGTTCTGCAAAATATACTTAATCAGAAACTTTACACTTAATATGTATAAATTAACCACATTACTATAAAAAGTCCTGAAAATGGCTACGTTGCCAGGAAATACTTTTAGATGATAAAGGCACAGACTGAAGTTATGAACTCTTGGCTCCAAGATGTGTCTTTCAGTACTGCAAAATATTCATCCTGATCTTTGAACCCATCTGGGCAAAAAAGGCAACAAACAGCATGTTGCAGCTAGGACAACAGCCAAGATCAGAAGTATTAGGTTATCATATATGAGCCTTAAAAAGAAAATACCAGAATGTTTCTATAAATACTGTGGAAAAAACCAGTATGAACAAATTAATCAAGGGAAGAGTCAATTGCTTTTTTTACAGTCAGATGCAAGGCCAAGCTAGTGTGGTGTAAGTAAAGTAAAAAATAAAAAGTTACCTGATATTTTAGAACATCTACATTATAGTAAGAAGCCGAAGGATTCTGTTCTGATAGCTTCTTGAGGTAGACTGTAACAGCTTGCATGTCCATCCAAAAATCTCTTACATTGGAATCGCTTTGTGATGGATCACTGTGCACAAAAAGTTGGTGAAAACACAGGTTTTAGATTTCTTACATATTGGAAATGTTTTGCAAAAGAAGGAATACAAAGTTTTTAACCATCTTTTAAAACTACTTCTATGGATCGGGGTTGGATCCAAAGGGTCTGCAGCACACACAGAAGAACTGTTTTATACCTTTGCAGAAGATCACACAGACAAATGGGAGCTGCTATGGAACCCACCAATTAAAACTAAATGAACTCTTGCATATTTGCAGAACAGTGACTTTGTCTCTGCTCATGATGTTTTGCTGTAGCAGAGAGGCTAAATTACAACTCGGAAGTTTCTGGTTTCACTTCCCCTCTGCCCACATATAACTAGAAGGACTTGGCATTTCACACATTCTCTGCCTCAGCACCATATATGTAAATTCTTTGGCTTCTGCAGTTACTGAAATTATATGACTATCTGGAAAGTTCAACTGTTATTTCTTTATTTTAATGGTTTTATGTATATTGTGAACTGCTTTATGATGTATAAATAAAAAGCAGTATGTAAGTAAATGAATAAAGTATGATGGTAAAAATGTTGCAATACACTGCAATACACTACCTCTACAATTTTATACTCAGTTTTGCATTTTTACACAGTGGGTGCTATATGAAGTAGCTGGAAGTCTACTTCCACTGTAACACACAGACAGGAGCAGCCCAGAATGAATTTAATTTACTTCATAATAAATGTTGCACAAATTATATTTATGCATAACCCTGTAGAAGAAAGCATGGTCGTTTTAAACACACAAACAGCATATCCTAGGGCAAATTCATGTTGTCCAGTAAGAGAGACAGCTGGTCTAAGACCGTAGCCTTAATCACTCTCATATGTATCTATTACACAGCAGTTTCTGTCCAGCTTGAGCAGCTGCCCACAGTGAACACGTTCTGTACTGAGTAAAGAAATCAACTTTTTATTCAGTGGCTCAGAACATAATTAGGTGACTGCGATTAAGAGACCAGTGTAATCCATATGTAAACCCAAAATGAAGGCTGTAGTTTCTCAGGAATGAATGAGGTACTCTGTGTGTTGTGTACGGCCAATTGTTTAAAAAGCAATCCTGAAGATATATGGCATATCCTGAGCCTGCAGAAATCTGAGCGACCCTCAGATTTACATAATGCCTGGGAATCAAAGAATTCTGATAAGAGAATGTATTGCCATACTTTCAACCTGCAAACCAAACACCTATGGGGACTCATGACACATATCCTTATGATGGCACACAGGCACAAATCAACAAGTTAAGATTGTACCTAAACGTTTACAAGTGATACAATTTTAGTTTTCCAGTTTGATATGTGATGAGTGATGTCTGAACTATTCTCTAACACAGGTTTCAAAACTGGATTAAATCCTTCCTCAAATGAAGCAGCTTAATATGTTTTGGAAAATAATGTAAATAAAATAAAATAAAATAAATCACAAAAAGCATTAGATGCTTGCCTTGAGGAAACGAAGCATGCTATGTAATCTGTTTGTAATATCAAACCATATGAGGAAATGCAACTAGCTTCATGGGGTAATGAATACCAGCATAGTTAGGAGGTGGGAAGACATCCCTGTTACCCATGAAATAGTGCACTACTTCTGTGGACATTATGGTTAATTAACACTGCCGCTATGCATTTCTTTAGCACCACCATTTATTTAGCATTCATCCAGTTCTCAGACACCATGGACCCACTACTGCTCTATGAATTACCCCTCTGGGAATTGTTTCTATGTCTTGTGTGTGCATGCAATGTGGACTCTGCGTGGTGAACCTGGCGGGGGGTGGGGGAGTTTTTTAAGGAGCTGTGAATCATGGTACTACAAAAAATGGTTTAAAATTAAATTATTTCAGTAATTTGTTCTAGGTGAGCTCTAATGGAAACTTGCAAGTTTATTAAATCTCTAAAAGTAACACTAGAATTCGAATGAAGATGTTGAAAAAGACGACAAGCACAAAATATACAATGCAATTTACCAAAGCACAGGGTTTCAGCATGAGAGAATGTATAAAAAGGTAATAATGCAACAAAGCACATTTATAGATTAGATAGTTTACTATTAGATAAAAAAATACAAAACCTGTATACAAGTTGTGCATTTGGAAGAACCTGCTCTAGTTTGCTTGTGTTTTTTACCCTGAAGCAGAGCACAGCTGGAGATGGATTGCTGGTGAAGACTTTAATAATTCCACTTGGGAATGAGACTGTCATATCACCAGTGATTTTCACAATACATCTAAAATAAAGATGTAAAATTACAAGCATTACTTTCACAAGAAACTATAGGATGCATGTTACATTTAGTAAAAACATGTCTGTTGTTATAACAATCTAACTGAAAAAAGTATTAGTTAATATACAAATTTACTAAGATTGCTCATTTACAATGCAATTTTAGAACTAGGAGAGATTTCAGCAGAAAGTTCTAAACATACAGCACAAGTTCTGAGTACCTTTGGAATGCCTCATGACTCCCATTATGGCCAACCACTGAAATATTGCTTGAGGTCTTTTTTGGAAGCTAGACCATTTCCAGTTGGGAGCTGGGCTTTCTCTGTGATAGCTCCAGAACTGTAAAATTCCCTCCCTCAAGAGGACAACTTGCCTAACTTGTTGCCTTTCAGAAACAGGTAATAAATGCTATATCTAAGCTCCGAAATGGCTTCTTGTGTGCTCTTATACATTGTTAGCTTTTATGCCTTTTTATGTAGAAAAGTGGTATATAAATATGGTACTGGGTAGACTTTGTTCCCACGAACAGCGAGATCCAATGCCACACCAGTAGATGTGATACTTTTCATCTCCTCTTGGGAGCTACCTGTCTCCTCATCTATTCCCCAGCTACTCCAGAAGGTCCCCCAACCTTATGGAGCAAATTTTTGGGGCTAGAGAAGGAAAGAGACAAAAGGGAGACCTGTTTGCATAAGCAGAAGTCTGATGTACAAGTTGGAAGTCACAGCTTAATATTACCCTAAGAATCATTCATAAATAAAAATGAAAACCAAGTCTGATGCAGGTATTGAATGACATTCAATAGTTATCTAACAACATAATCCATACTTTCATCAGCAGTGTTATTTATCCAAATAGACACTGGACAATATACATTAGAATTTCATTTCTGAAGTTCCATTATTTTTTCCAAAGCAAAAAACAAAACAAAAACCTTAATCTGTTTTTTTAATGCAAGATATAAAATTCAAAACAAATGTTTCACTAACTTTGTGGGATCTGCTCCTTTGAAGTAGGCATTAACAGACTCAGTAAGGGCCACTGCAACAGGCAAAGTGTCCTGGTTTCCAAGGCTGACAGGGCTAGGGCCACGTGAAATACCTAGAATGCATAGAGTTTATTGATGTCATTTCCTATCATGTTAGCAACTTCAAAGATGGATTACTTCAGCTATGAATTTCAAAAGACATTAATTATTAATGTAAGACTTAATACTAAAGTACAAATATTAGATGATGCAGATTTTAAGATACTGCACTAGGATTTTTGGAAGAAAATACCTGTGCATACATGCATGCATGCATGCATGTATGTATGTATGTATGTATGTATAACATCATATCAACAATTTAATATAGATAACAAGTCTATATTTAACAAAGGACTCCACCAGTTAATGTCAATTATTTCCATTTCCTCTATAATGACTGCAGAAAAGTAACTTTTCCTTGCCCACTTTAAAGTAAGATAATCACATCATTTTTTCCACTTTGGAAAGAACAAGAAACCGTGTAGTTCTACAGCAACAAAATGTTTCAGAGTAATGCAGGTGACATAATATCTATGTGTGGTGGAAGACTGAAACAACACCTTCTGGCCCTCTTTGCTCCTTGGAAAAAAGGCTATGTAGGCCCAATCTGCAGAACACTCTTCCCTCACACAGATGGCTTTGAGGGCTAGAGACCATGTACACAGGGCCCATATGCTGACAGGCCTGGCTCAAGCACAGCAGGGGGCAAAGCCAGCTGGGCATTGGAATCCCCACACTGTGAATACAGCTTTATTTTTGAACGTTTCTTACAATAACGTATAAAACAGAATAAATGCCAAGTAATTCTATATGTTTTGTAACTTTAAAAAAGATTACTTAGGAAGATGGTGATGAAAAATAAGAAGGAATTTATTTAAAATAACACATTACAGAAATAATTTGGGTTGTTGTTGTTGTTGTTGTTGTTGTTGTTGTTGTTGTTGTTGTTGTTATTATTATTATTATTATTATTATTATTATTATTATTATATTAAATCTTGCCAAAGGCAACCCAAAGCGGCTTATAACCAACCAACAGAAGGAGGGAAAGAAGGAAGAAAGGAAGCCGCATAAGTTCCTTTCTCTTGGCCTGAAGCAAGAGGCAGAAGTTATAAGACAGCTAGCATGACCCCCAGACAACAGCTGAACATTCTACATACTGCTAGTGAACACATTAAAAATGCTTTCCATTCAGCTGATACAATGATTTTTAAGAGAGCAAAGCCAAATTTGTCAAATGCTGCATCTTAAATGGCTTTGAAAATCAATCCAGAAAAATCTGTTTGGATAATTGCTTGTTATCATGAACAACACCAGACAACCAATTTAATAATTAGCTATTTTAAAAAGGCTTTTTCACAGAGGGAGAAAAACTTCACCTATGAAAATAAGTATTCTCTCAAAAAATAAACTTATCAGTACCTTATAGGCTTTGTCATGCAGATATCCCACTTGTAGAAACATATAGATCACCTATGTTTAAAGTCTAAAATCCTGTTTAAATGAATCCTGTCATTGCATGTTTGCAATGTGTGTGTGGTGTGTGTGTGTGTGTGTGTGTGTGTGTGTGCGCGCGTGCCTGGTGAAAAGACCCTTTTTGGAGTAGCTCCTTTATTCCTAAACAAATTCTTTCACATCTCATATAAAGGATTTATAAATAGTTTTTATATCCATTTTTCAAAGGCTAATAAAGTTTTAGAATTAGATACTACACAGGGAATCACTGATAGACTTCCTTACCAACTGTAGGTGTATTTGCTGCACTTAATGAAGCAGAAGATGATATTGAGGAGGAACTCTCTGCACGTGCCAAAGGAGCTGAAGGAGGTGGGCTGGAATTGGAGGTCAAAGGAGGGCTGAATGGCCTTGGCTTGAAAACAAAATGCAAAAGCATGAATACATACAAAAGTTAAGTGGGAAAAGCTACACTGAGAGATAAATATAACTTAAGGCAAGTTGCATTGCTCTTACAATTTCATTAATTCCACTGAGTTTCCCTGAAGTCAACTTTGGTCTAGAAGCTGGTCTTGGAGGAGGCACTAAGGTACCCACAGAAAGAGGGGTAGTTGGTCTTGCTGGAAGGCAATAGTAAAGATTAATGTATTTCTATAAAATTTACATTTACGAAAAGCAATAAAATATTCTAGTACACTAATTATTAGAATTAGAAAACTAATTTAAACATAGAAACTACTGGACAGTTCAACAGTACTGACCACAACATTGGTGGTCAAGTAGTAACAATAGTATGAATACTACTCTAAAAAGCAGCACTAGAAAGTACCGTATTTCTCGCTCTATAGGACACACTTCCTCCCCTCCAAAAATTAAGGGGAAATGTGTGTGCATCCTATGGAGCGAATGCAGGCTCCTTGGCTTCAGCGATAGCAACGCGAAGCCTCCAAAGCGCAGAGGGAGCGCTCCCTCCGTGCTCCTTGGCTTCGCGTTGCTTTCGCTGAAGGCTGGAGAGAGAGAGGAGTCGGTGCGCACCGACCCCTCTCGCTCTCTAGGTTTCAGGGATAGCCGCCTGAAGCCTCTGGACTCTCCTGGCTTCAGCGAAAGGAACCTAAAGCCTCCGGAGTGCAGCGGGAAATTGCGCTGCGCTCCGAAGGCTTCGGGTTCCTTTTGCTGAAGCCAGGAGAGCAAGACTCAATCAAGAAGCAGCATCTTCATTACTGTCTGTAATAAAACCAGGCTGATCCATGATCTGATCATGAATGAATGGGGTGACCTGGTGTGTATCACTGGTACTTGAGGGGTGGGGAGCTGGAACCATTTTCAGGCAGAAACCATGCAGGGAGGGAGAGAAGGAGATTGGACAATTCAGGGGAGGAAAGATTGGACAAATCATTTTTTCTCTTTGTCTCTGTTTGGCTACAGTCATTTAAAAAAAAATCATTGAAAAAGTGGTAAGAGAGATCAGAAAAATCCCAGATTAGAAATGTTCCCCTAGGAATCAATGGAGATCATGGACTCGTTATGCAAATACTTTCCAGGGAACATATTGTGTTCAGTAAGTGGGATCTGCATGTTCTTTATCAGCATTTTCTTTTTTAGAAATCATATGTAAGTTGACATTACTGTGACTACGTTTGAAAATCCTATTTACATTGCACACTTGTCATTAAAGTTTTCCAATGGAAAAAGAGGCACTTCCACAGGCTTTTCTCTGTTAATAATAAACCTACCTGATGAAGATGAAGACATTGTTGAAGTCAGGGAGGCTGAATCACCAGAATTCCTAAAGAGTGGATCCCATGCCAGGAGGTCATTGTTCCCCTTCCTATAAGTCATCATAAAATGAATATAAATCATACCAGGTATGTTTTTAGAACTGAACTAACAGTTGAAGCTGCATATGCATATTAAAATAATAATAATGCATACTTAAATATTTTACACCAGAAACTATTCCCTTACAAATGTTGAAAGGGAGAATACTAGTGGTTTTTAAAATCAATATAAAGTATTACCATTCTTATAGCTTTTAATCCATTGTTGCCATTTTTGAGACCTTGGCTAATTAATAATGCAATCCTAACTATTTCCACTCATAAATAAGCCCTACTGAATTCAATGGGGTTTACTACCAGCTTAGTCGGGTGAATACTGTAGCCTTAATCTATTTTTACATCTGTGCACTCCTACAGCTGCTTTGAGCTGCTGGGTTACTGTTTAATGGTCTATTGAATTATCATAGACATTGTCCCTGAAACTGTCAATTGTTTTACATGCCAATGTTACTTTTGCTACTGATGTTTCTATTTTATGTGCCATAAACCACTTTGGGAAGTTGTGTGTTTGTAAAATAAGATTAAACAACGGTTGACCAAACAATGATTAAATTATTTTTTAAAAGTAAAGAAAAACATGGTGCATAATGAGGACATATTGAAATTTGCTATACTATATTTTTTTATTTGGAAAAGGCGGATGGAATGAAACCCCTTCTGTAAGCATCTGAATCAAATTCTGTCACAAATCTGTTTTATTTGACTTAAAAAAACCTTCTGATTCAAATAGAACAAAATACATTTTACATACAATAACTATGGGCCAGATTCAACTAACTGCACCCCCCAAGTTCCATTAGTACAATTGGGCTTTCCCCTGCTTCCACTACGTGTCCCCTGTACCCCCAAATTTACTCAGGAGGGGCAGGAGAGCTCCCGAAACAATGCATGGGGGAGAGGAGAGGGCAGTTAATTCCCTCAGACAAGCAGAAGAGCTTGCACTGACAAAGCAATCTGTTTAGCACTCCACTGAAGAACTCCCTATATAATGGCAGCTTCTAAAGGTTCCTGATTGAGCTTTAAGACTGCATAAGAGCAGCACTTCAGGGTGGGGATGGAATCATGTATGGCTAGCAAGTTAATTGATTCTTTTTGGCCTTGGTCTGCAACCATGCTATTATTTTTTCCAATATGGCCTTGTAGAATTTAGGTTGACAATAAGGCAATTTTTTTTACTTATGGAAAACAAAAATATTTTGGCTTATGACAGCAAGAAAGTGATTTATATTCTTCTGGCAGATCATACATAAATTTTCAGATGCAAAGCTATGTACATCGTATTTATGCTACAGGTAATTATCAAATTTTCATCTTAATTGTTTTATTCTGGAAATACTATGTATCATATGATATGAGCACAAATTAAAAGGAGAGTCAGGTAAGCAGCCAAAGTGAAGGATGAATAAATAAATAAAGAAATAAATGCAGAAATTCATCTTTTGGAGTCCCAAGCAGCCCACACCTAAACTGTCACATCAGAACTGAACACTGGACACAGGAATCTGGGGGGCGGGGGGCAGGGAGAAAGCCCTTCAAGCCTAATATTCAGTGACTCTTCAAATAAAAATAAATGTCTAATGTGAAACTTACTCATTAGATGAAGCAGAAAGCTTTGATTTTGTTAATTCTTCACCTAAAAGATATTATGATAATTGAAAGCCATGACATTTAATTAACAAAATCAGCCAGCTTTATAAAAGTAATGTTTTAAATGGCAAAGATGCAATACAAAACAACTCAAACACTGACATGAAGTGGAAATGCATCACAGTATGAAACTTTTGCTTTTGCCAAAAGTGTTTATAACAAAAATTGCTGTGTGAGAAGGAATCCAGGAAGGACATGGGTGTGGAAGGACATCAAATGCCTGCTTAAACGGAATCAGTTTGTTGGTTTTAAAGATGTATAGTTTTTAATGTTTCCAATGCATTTTATAAATGTTGAGAGCCTCTTTGAAGACTCCAATTTAAAAAACACACACGATATGAATAGAAAAATAAATAGGAAGTGAGTTTTGCAAGATGCTGATCTCAAAATAGTTTTACTGTAAGACACAGGCATTACAATATTCTTCTCAAACTATGGCTTGGATTCTAATTTGTTCTTCTAATGTAAGAAGACGGTTAATTTTTGCAACTTTTCTCCATCTATAGCCCCCTGCACCATTCTCAAGAGACTTCCAGCTCTCAAAAACAGATTTTCAGAGGTGCATTGGTAACAGGCCTGTGGGAAAACCCTGATTTGTGAACATGCTCAAAAGGAAATTTGGGGTACAAGCCTGTCTTTGCAGTTAAAGGTTAATAACTTGTATTAAATCAGTAAGTATTTAATAGGTATTTAAAACCTTAAGCAAATCTAGAAAGAGACATGTTTTTACAATTAAGCACATATGTACACAGTGCTGACAAAGTAACTTTTAGTATTCAAGTAACTAATACCTGACAAATTCCTATATGGAAGTCACTTCTATATGGGTACATGTAGATCACTCTGTCATGTGGCAACCTGCCAACTGCAAAGATTCCCTAGCTCCTAAAGGTAAAGGTAAAGGGACCCCTGACCATTAAGGTCCAGTCACGGACGACTCTGGGGTTGTGGCGCTCATCTCACTTTATTGGCCGAGGGAGCCGGCGTACAGCTTCTGGGTCATGTGGCCAGCATGACTAAGCCACTTCTGGTGAACCAGAGCAGCGCACGGAAACGCCCTTTACCTTCCCGCCGGAGCGGTACCTATTTATCTACTTGCACTTTGACGTGCTTTTGAACTGCTAGGTTGGCAGGAGCAGGGACAGAGCAACGGGAGCTCACCCCATTGCGGGGATTCAAACTGCCAACCTTCTGATCGGCAAGCCCTAGGCTCTGTGGTTTAGACCACAGTGCCACCCGTGTCCTTCCCTACCTCCTACTCACCCCATTAAGGAACTAGTGTACTTGTATGATTGCCCTAATGGGGAAATAACAGCTGAAAATAGCATGGGGGATTAACCTGTAGTTCCTCAGGCTTCAGTCCTGATTCTGAATGCCCCGCTCCAAAATTAAAAAGCTGGGAGATCACAACTCTCTCATGTTTTTCCTTTTAGGGTCAAGCTAAATAAGTCTTCTTTGAGCACCACCAGCACACAGGAGAAGAGCTTTGTCACATATTTTATACACATTTCTCCACTGAAGGCTAGTTCTTTTAACAGCATGTACAAACTGTTACCATATCCTATAAGGTTTTAGAAAAGTTTAACAGGACAAATATATTATTCCTTTTTTAAAGTTGGAAGTGCTATTAGATATAGCTTACAGGACAATCCAAATCCTGGTTGAGCAGCAGCGGGGCATGGTGGAGTAAGAGAGCCATCACCACAGCTCCATCACTTGTGCTGCCTGGCAGAGAAGGCAAAGGAGCAGCAACTAAGCCTATATTGGGCCAGATGCCATCAAGTGACATCAGTGAGGCTAAGGATCAAGCAGATCCCAGCATGGGCTAGCCCCACCTTGGAACACCCTTGTTTTGGAGCTGTGAGCTACTGCCCCAGGGGATCCCACAGTACTTCTGCCCATCCAGCAAATGGAATGAAGAGCTCCATGCCAGCAGTTACTCTGTGGGTAGAGGCTGGCAGGGGTGCCTGAAGGAATATCTCCACCAAATCCTTTCTCTCCGCAAGCCTGGCGCCAAGGGGAGTTGGGCTGCAACCTAAAGCCAGGATGCAAGCACTAAGCTTTAATGTGTAGTACAGTTTCTACTGTCAGATTCTTTAAGAGTTCCATTAAAACCATCTAATATCACACAGTCATTTTATAGATCAATTTTATTATGGACATATATATCTACGTTTCGGACAATTACCAAAAGTAGGCAGACTTTTGCATTCTGTGGGTGAGGGCGGGGGGGGGGTGAATTGTCATTAAAGTTATTAACATGGCAGCAGGAAAAAAACACCTTGATTTAGGACTCCCTGATATCCCACCATATACAACTTTCCATTTACAAGAAACAATTTATACAGGCATGATTTCATGAACAGGAAGTTAAAGTCAAATATAAACATAAGAAAAACCAGATGATGGTCAGCAGTTCACACACACTTACTGGATGAATTCCGGTTCATTTGTGCCTAGATGAAAAATAACAAAAATGAACAACGCTTAGTGAACAAATATTTTTTTCCTAAACTAAAGAGTTGGCAGTTGGAGATAAATTCCAAAGCCACCACTAGCTATTAGGCTTAGTACCTCTACCAGGCAAAGTAATTGGCAGAGACAGGTAGTGAAATATTGGGTAGATCTTCTGGAGATTAAGTTTGCAATCTGTGGTAAAATTAACCAATGGTGGTTTTTCACGATATGGCCATCCCATTCCATGCAGATTGCCTAAAACTGCTGCAACATGATGACTGCTCTCTATTGCATGCCAATACATTATGCCACTTAAGTTGGTCCTCTTCCTTTTTTTTCTTCATGACCAAGGCTGAATACTGTTGGCAGATGTTTTTAAAGCCAAGCAGCTGCTACTCTGCATTTTCTTGAAATAACCTGTGTGCACATTAGTAGCCATGTGGGAGCAGCTTCAAATGGCTTCTGTTTAGGCGTCAAATTGTGAAGCCACCCTGAGAAATCTGGGCTGAGCTGATATGAAAGTAAATTACTGATCAAGAGCAGCTAGGGAAGCAAAATGCAGTTTTTTTGTTTGTTTGTTTTAAAAAGCTGCTCATATGAAATTGACATAGTTCCCCAATTCAGATGATTGTCATGGGGACCACACTGCTCCACAAGAGGCAGCCACTTGTCCCCTTGACCCTGACCTCACACAGTATAAGGTCAGGGGCAATTGCCTCTAACGCTTCAAAGTGTCTTGGAAGTGCAGCAAAAAAGCAAGCTTGAAGTTCACCACCATGAAACACATGTATGCACACACCAAAACAAATCACCAGCCCACACGACTAAGTTTAATTAGAAGTAAACTATGGTAAATATAATTTTAATACTTACAGACTATGTCTCCTGATGTTCAGCATACATAATAAACAGCGAAAACATAATTACATACGATTTGGTGCACAGTTAAATGTACACTATTCCCTCCCACAACTGAATCTGAAGCATCAAGCCATAACGTTAAATGAATAAAAAAGCCAAGTGTAAAAGATATTTAAATTTTAAAGAAGAAGGAATGGTTTAAACCAAAATGATGTGCAGCAGTTTTTAACGACAAATCCATCTCTGCTAAATGATAGCGTTGAGAATCACAGAGCACAGCTCCTCCCTATCATGGGGAATCAATAAGGCTACAAGCAAAATTCTGATGGTGTGCTGATGGTACCAATTATTGGACATCTCAAATACTAAAATACTGAGTCACTAGTTGTATATTTGTATCCATCTTTATCTAGAGTTGGGTGTGTGTGCTAACTTCTGGCCCTCTGATGATGTTGGACTACAAGTCCCATCACCCAACCAGTAGCCATGCTGTTGATCTAGAACAGGGGTAGTCAACCTTTTTATACCTACTGCCCACCAATGCATCTTTCTTGATGGTAAAATTTCCTTACTGCCCACCAGAGCTCAATGGAAGGAGGATTCAGCTTATGCTGTAGAACCCTCTACCGCCCACCTAGAAACCTGAAACGCCCACTGGTGGGCAGAAGGGACCAGGTTGACAACCCCTGACCTAGAAGGACCTTTTCACAAAGGAAACAACACAAAAAACTAGAAAAAGCTCAGATTTGACACACAAATAGTTAAAATGGATGTGTACTGGATTATATAGAAATGTTCTTAAATGGGATATTTTAAACCAGTGTTTCTCAAATTTGGTTCCCTACAGTTGTGGGACTACAACTTCCACCATCCCTGATCATTGGTCCCACTAGCTAAGGATGATGGGAATTGTAGGCCAACAACAGCTGGGGACCCAAGTTAGAGAAACACTGTTTTAAACCCTTCTCCCTAGTCTTTTGAGAAACAGACTCCATCTCATAATAGCAGCAGACACTCCAGTACAGAAAAAGCCAAAGCACAGATGAAATAGTTTGTTGGATTCATACACCTGAGGCAGATGCAGTCTGGGGAAGATAAATTTGTAGAGTTAGCCAGGGACGTATTTAGCCATGTAAAATGCAAACTGTAGTTACGAATGTTATGTGGCAGGTTGCACTGTAGGATGGAACCTGATCGTTTCTCACTTTTCTAAAGACAGTTAAGATGGAACATAGGAATTCAACAAAATGTATTCGCCTGCATCAACTGGCATGGGGTAGGACCATGCCAAAAATATTGTAATTCTAACACGCACAAAGAACTCTCTTTAAACTAAAAATCTGACTTCACCATATATGATTACAATTAGAATATAACATAATCTGTTTAGAATATAGCTTCAAAACCTGGGCTGGGGTGTTTGTTTCTGAATAATGAGGCTCTTGCTAATAAAAAAGTAGCTCTATGTTAACCTCATATGTACTCCCTTAACTCCATATATACACAGGCAGTGTCTCTGCTCTTACTCCAAAGACCTTGTATACCACATTCCAAAATTCATCCTTTTATCATTTGAAATACGTAACTTATTAAAAATAGGCAATTGACATATTTTACATTTGTGCTAAAATGGTCAATTTTAAAGTACTATTTACCGATTGTGCCTGATATACTAAATATTGTGCTCAGTTTACTTACAGATATAGCTGGTGAAAGTGTGATGTTCCCTATTGATTCTTTTAATTCATCCAGTGAAGGCATTGTATAATGAGAACTACTATTTGCCTGTACAGGCTTAATTTCCACATGGAACTTCCTTGGTTCATCATCTTCAGAGTCAGAATCACTTGAAGAATAGAAGTGGTTCGCTTTGGTATGTTATTTGCAGTTAAGGTGAACGTCATGAAGTTAATCACATAATGACTAATAGCACTGCTCTATGCATACACACAAACACAGAACAACAGCAAGTTAATAAGTTGCTAAACAGGATTTTTAAGACCCACAAAAATCACTGATATTAGTCCTTTACATATTCATAAAGCTTTGTGAAGAGATTGTACACAACCAGGGCAACCAAAATTATACAGAGGCTGGAGCAACTATCCTATGAGGAAAGGTTACAACATTTGTGGCTTTCTAGTTTAGAAAACAAGATAACATGCAGATTGTGGAAAAAGCAAGGTTATCCAATGAACCATAATGGTGGGATACACAGGAAACTGGGATGGATTTAACAGGAGATTAGATAAATTTATGGAAGATAAGGTTATCAGTGGCCACTAGTCACAATGGCTCCAGTATCAAGTAACAGGGTGCCTTTGAGTAGCAGTTGCTTCAGATCACAAGCAAGAGAATGCTATCAAGCAGGCACACATATTGCTTGCCAGCATCTCTTAGGCATCTGGTTAGCTACTACATGAACAAACTGCTGGACTAGACTGGCCTTTGACATGGATCCAGCAGGGCTCATGCTCTAAGTTCATAAGTAAGCATTACAATAAAAGGATATTCTGACTAGCTTCTGGTTTAATGCTATAACCTTCATCATCAACATCCGGAATGTTCTGGAAAGAAAACAGGTAACTTATTAGATGACCATCACTATCAAAATATTTTCCAATAGATGTCAAAGCAAGCATAATGTATTGTTGATTATCTTTAAACCTGTTTATGAAAGCAGCAGTGCTTATGTCATCAGAACTTCAAGCCACGAGTTCAGAGGAATCAGGTTACAGTACTCATAATTTGGTACTTTACAAGTCTTATAGCATTCACAGTTCATTTTGTACAATTAGGAAATCAAAACTGGGAGATAAACCTAGCTAGAAAGTCTGGAGAAAAAAGATACTCTTGAAATCTATGTCCAAAACACTGTCCACTGAACTAGATACAATATACCACATTAGTGAAGCTATTTCCCCCTTATAACACTTAAAACAAGAAATAGCTGACCAATCAAGCATAGGAATTACATACTCCAGAAAGAATTTATGACCTATTATTCCTGCTTTCATAACCTTGACAAACTACACTGCAGCCTTTGATTATTGTTCCAATATTGCACCTGGTATAGACTACTGCCAGCCGCCAGAAACCTACAACACTGTTGCAAGATCAGCACTGGTTTGTTATAACCTAGCAGGAACAGTTACGGCATTTTCATATGTTGCTCTTAACAGCAATGCTAAATCAAGGTGTGCACCAGGAACAGATGGCTTCTCTATGGGATTCATTCCCAATTAAGTGCACATGATAGCAGCACAATTGGCATTTTCAATTACTTTTCTTTCATCTTGACATTCAGGAAGCCCTGACCCCTTTTAGAAGTAATATACCGTAGTATTTGCTATTTTACACTGCTTTACTATTTTTATGCATGTTATTCAACCTTCTGGAGGAAATTTTAAATACATTTTAAAAACTTCATTTAGGGTTTAAAATGGGTGGAATTAAGCTAATACAGAGTAAGAAAACCTGTAACCCCCAAAGCCTCTCAATTTAGGTTTGAGTATGTACAGATATGAGCAGGGGTTGGCAAGGTTTACCTCGCCTGGGCCAGTTCACTCCCGCAGAGATCGCTCTGTGGGCCAGATCGCGCATGCGCAGACTCAATTTCCGGCACCTGCGTCTGTGCAGATGCGATTTTTGGCATCTGCACATGCGCAGATGCGATTTCCAGTGCCATGGAAGCGAGTCCCTGCTCCGCCGGTTTAGCGTAGCACGGGGGAGCTCGCTGAGTGGGCGGCTCGGTTGGGGGGCAGCTCGTGGGCCATTTAAATGACCCCCATGGACTGCTTGTGGCCCATGGGCTGCAGGTTGCCAACCCCCTGGATGTGAGGCTCTCATAATGAAAATGCCAATGCGCCATCACAATGCCCTGAAATTTTACAGATGTAATAAACTCTGGGTGCATTGGCAGGTTCAGAGAAGCAATTGGATTCTGATTCTGATTCAGAGAAAAAACAAAATGTGGACGCAAGTTGTACCTACTTCACATTATCCCAGCAAAGCAGAAGCAAGAATCACTCTTGAATCTACTGCTTGTAGTACCTCAATGTGAAAAGCAGTTCCTTCTACTGCATTGTAATAGTAATTTTTGGTCAAGAACAGACAGAGCTATGCCAACTGACATTAGTTTACACAGAATGTTTAATGGGTAAGGCAATCACATGACAGCTTTATTATAGACCCATTAATTATGCTTCTTATGTCCTTTCCCTGAAGATTAGCAATTTTACGCTTTTTATACATTGCAAACAAGTTCTCTCTCTTAGGATTACAAATTTCTCAACAAATACCAACTTCATAATCGAAACCAAAAAAATGCATCAGAAAATATTCATCCAGATTATTTAGACAGTTTCTCTTTCAAGAACTTGCACATTTTGCTTTTATAAAGCAACATGATTTAAAAACAGAGAGTGGCATCACACGGTTCAATACCTTAGCACTAGTTGTTTAGAATCACGAAGCTTTTGTTATGCTTGACCTCAAGCTAACCATGTTAAATGTCCTAACGAGACTTGACAACAAAGTAAACCGAACAAATACAAATAGCTAGAGGCCATGTGTACATTCTCATACAACCAAAGAACTTCTGAAGTTATATCGTTAAAGTTGGAAAGCTATTACGTTACCTATCATAGCTAAATGCAACAAAGACCATTAAACAAAGACTCTGGATAACTTGTGACATAAACTGAAGAACAAGGATGCCATACCAAAGCAGCAGCAGGTAAGCTGGCTTTTTATGCGAGTGTAAAATGTGGAAAAGGTGGTGGTCCAAAAGCATAGATATGGAGCAGCTGGTTTACAGTGCTCTACTGTTGCTATATTCATACTTATGAAATATTGCTATTTAGCTAAAGAATAGTAACTACAAAATAATAATTTTAAATTATATTTCAGCTTACAAATATCTGCCTTGGTAAGTCCCCTTCAATGTGACCTAAAACCTTTACTTGCCTATCCAGTGGTAGCCTAGCCCTAGGGGATTCATAACACATTCCCCAGCCTCCTAGGAGCAATAAACCCTGCCCACCTGTCAAATTTGGTCTCTAGGATTGATCCTGATAAGGATCTGGCTCCCAGAGTCAAGGAGGTTCCCCACCCCTGATCTATTTCGTTATATATTGGGACCTATGTTTCAAACGACCAGGTGAACACCACAATAGGCTACACAATAGCAACACAATCACTATTATACCATCTCTACTAAGGCATTTAAATTGCCTTGGCTAAAAGCATTGGATTCAAGTGCATTAGAGCAGTGATCAATATTCTAAGACCAGCTCTTTGTTTCCTTCTGCTTCTACACAAGAAAGTCACTATCAACTACAAGTTCAATGCTACATTTTTAAAAACACATGGATAAATTTTGAAGATATTTAAAATGAGTCATGCCAGCAAGTTCAAACAATACCGAAAACATTTTCAATTTGAGGACATCTATTTGATGACAGAAAATTGATGGTGGGAAATACTCTACTTAGTGCTTTTCACATATTTGTTATATTTGCATAACTTTTGTTATAAAGTGAAGTTTGAAGAATGTTGCCTCTTAGTAAAACTGGCATTAAAGAGACTGAGTATATGTGTAACACTTTGAAAATGCTACAGAAAGGAAATAAAATGTATGTTTTGAAAACTATGAAGCAGAGTTATTCTTCTGGGGAAGGGGAGAGTGAGTGATCATGCTTGGTGTAGCTTGAAAAGGAATATGCCAGACACATTTACACTTGGATTTGTTTCATTAATTATTAAACAAGGAGCAACAAAACAAACAAGTCAAAGAGTAAACATTGTAAGTCAACCCGACTTATGTTTCACTCTGTGAATGGCCTAATTCCTGGAATAAACGTATCAGTTTGAGCAACATAAAATCACACAAAAACCTGATCTGCTCGGGCTTCTTGCAACAGTTCAGAAAAAAGCAACTTCAGAGTGGGTTTACAAGAGAAAAAGTTTATTTGACAGATATACATTTTATATCTGTTTATTTTGTGCTTTTTATTATGAGACATTCTCATTTCACAAAACTGTTTAAACAAAAGAAACCAAACCCATGAATTTTCTAGAATATTGGAGGCCTAATACATGGGTTGATAGCTGCCGTTTCTACAGGAAAATTTTCAGATTATTCTGGAAATCCATTCTTTCATTTCAGCCACAGGGAGTTCCACCTTTCTGTCACCTCAAATTAAACACTGATAATATGGCCAAGAGGAACTAGAAATACAAATGATGAAAGGAACACACTATACATAACTTGTTTGAAACTAAAGAGACTGTGAACCACCGAGACCCTCGGGTATAGGGCGGTATATAAATTCAATTAACAACAACAACAAATTTCTTGAATAACTTTGATCAATATAAGAATACTTACAACTGAATCAGCATCTGGACATTCCCTGTTTAAAAAAATAGCGAATTGTTATAATAGCTATGGCTTTTATTTACCAAAATCTCTTTTGGTTTTCTAGTTAACATCTCACCAGATACATAGCCGCTTTAGAACACCTTTAAAATCAGGCTATAGACAGTTATTTAATTTTTCAGGATTCATATATCACTTTTCCATTTCCATAGATCACTTTCCATTTTCCATTTCCATATATATCACTTTTCAGGTAAAAAAAATGCCCAAGGCAACAAAAATAACAACAGCTGCTACAGCAGCAGCTAACGTTAATAAAAGCGTACATATATAAGTACACATAAAAAGAAGATAAATTCATACATTGGGATGCTAGAATAACAATGTTTTTAGCTGCCTATGGAAAATTAGTGAAGTGGCCAGGAGGATTTCCTGGGGGAAGTAGACACAAGGGCAAAGGTCTTGACAGGAGCTGCCATTGATCACACCTCAGAAAATGGTGGGATGCACAGCCTGTGAAACTACCATAACGAAGGAGTCACATCCTCAAAATCCTGGCTCTAGTCAGAAGTTTTGCTGATGATGATTCAGGGTGCTACAGTAATGGATGAGAGTAATCCAACTCTAAGAAATAACCATGATCCTCCAAAAATTTGATGCAGCTTGTGCCCTAACCTGACCTAGGGAAAAGCACTCCTAGCCACAGTTGCTACCTAGAATCCATAAAGATTCCCAAACTGTGACCACCCCACACACTTAAAAATTGGGGAAGTTGTTTTTTTTTTGGGGGGGGGGCTATACAGGAATTTATTGAAGCATTATCTCTTACAGCATTAATAATAAAATTAAAAAAGATAGAAATATTTATGCTTCTATTTTTTAAAAAACCAAACATTAAACGATTTACTAACAAGTTTGAAACATACTTACACAGATTCTGCATCTTTTCCCTTTCTACTAATTGGTAACACAAAATGCTTTCTTTTTCTAGGCTTTATCCCTGCAAAGCAGACAATGTGTTGTTAGATGGAAATTAAGATTAAATATTAGTTAACAGGATAGGTAATGAGATACACTATTGCAGTAAATAACACGAAGTTATTATGTATCATAATATGTATAAATAATATTATTAATAATATATTATTAATATTATTATTAATAATATGTATAAATATATGATAAATATGTATCATTTTATGTTGCACATAAGAGAACTACCAATACCCACATCTTGTCTTGCCTGGATTGAGTTTTAGTCTTGTCATCCTCAAGTAGTTTATCACTCAAAGTATCTGTTCAATGCTTCCAGAACTTAGTACTATCCCTTTTCATCAGAACCAGCTTAAATGTTATTGGTATATTGTTCCAATATGTCATACGTTTTCTCCCCTTTGTTTTATAGCGGTTTCTAAAGTATGGAGGTCAAGAATGAAACCCAGTGCATCCTAGAGGACAAATTCCATTGTGTGAAGCCATCTTTTCAGACTTTTCTCACAAAAAAGAATGGAACTACTTCAAAACATCAACCCCAATCTTTAGCTCTGCCATTAGATCAACAGAAAGCATCCAAGGCTTAGTTTCTACTAATGTGCCAATAATTGGTTTGGGGACCAAGAAGCAACACCAAAGTATTGAACAGAAGATCTATGGAATACTTGGAAATGGCATGCTTTAGATACAGGGACATTCATATATGAGGACATGTTTATGTATCCATGTAAGTGAAATTTGCCACTCCCTCACTAATAGGATACTGAAAGTTAGCCAACTGAGCAAGTTCTGACTCTAAATTGAGACAAAACATAAGGCTGCTGATCATTTCCTGTTATATCAGAAATATATTAACTTCATTTCATCTTAATTAGAGCAAACGACTTCACTTGTTACTTTTAAGCCTTATTTTTTTAAACCTTTCCCCAATGTTCACTAGAAATGATGTAAGAAGTACATTTTGAATGATAAACAATACAAGAAAAACTCACCTTCAACTGCACTGGCTGTATTACACTCTTCAAATTCAATAAGTCCTTTAAACGATGGAAAATCAATGTTATTCTAATGCTGTTTCTTGTTTTAATTTATGGAGAAACATTATGCATCAAGACTAGGGTGGCAATATTTACTCAATCAATTTGTTTGATCAGTGGCTTCCAAACAAGTCCATAGAATAAAATAACAATGTATGAGAAATAAAAGAGGCAATTGAAATAAAATTTTAAAATATGCAGCATCTAGCACAGTTCATTTCAATTGCTGTTTCTTGGCAATTTTAAAGGTTTTTTTGGGGTGGGGGGTCAGACTGTAATATAATATAATACATACATTAGAAGAAAACCCCCAATAAAAATGCAATTTAAAAAAATCATACAGCACTGATGCACTGTTATTGTGTCAATTATATGTTGCATATAAGGTTGGAAAGAACCCCCCCCCCCTTCTCCCAAGGCTGGAGAAGGGCAGAGTCTCATCCCTAAGACTGCACTAAGCTTTGGCCACAGTGAAAAAACAGTGACAATGATCACTACTTTTCACATGACAGAGGCTTTTGCACCATGATGAATCTATTTTCTCCTAAGAATAGGATTAATGAGAATCCTGGCAGAGACTGGGAAAAGAGTATACACACAGACACAGAGTGCACCAATCTCAAGAAATGAATTAGCTGGTATTAGATGAAGCACTCCTCCAGATAATTGGGCCCCAAGACACATAGGGCTTTTTAAACCATCACTAACACCCTGAATTGATCCTGGCAGCATTCAGGCAGCCAGTGCAGAGCTTTTAGGATAGGTGTTACGTGATCCCATCTGGATATTGCAGTTAACAACCTGGCAGCTGCATTCTGCATTAATTGCAATTTCTGGACCATTTTCAAGGGCAGTTTCATGTAGAGCTCATAGCAATAATCCAACTGCAAGGTCACTACAACATAGGTTACTGATAGCAAGCTATCTCAGTCCAGGAAAGGTTGTAGCTGTTGAATGAACTAGAGCTGGATACAGTCATACCTCGGGTTACAGACGCTTCGGGTTGCACGATTTCGGGTTGCGCACCACGCTGAACCCGGAAGTACCGGAACGCCAAATCACAATCTGTGCGTGCGCAGAAACGGCGCTGCGGGTTGTGAACGTGCTTCCCGCATGGATCACGTTCACAACCCGAGCGTCCACTGTATACTGTATGCAGTCCTTTGCTACAGAGGTCACCTGTGCCTCTAATGATAGCTATGGCTCAAATAGATACAAGTTATGTACCTGCTACACTGAGGGTGGGTGGGTGCTACCCTATCCTAAATACTCCACCTCCTCAATTCCTACACTTCATAACTGCTGATCCATAGTACCTCCATCTTATTGGGATTAAATAATAGTTTATTAACCCTCTTTTAATTCATCACTGCCTCCAAGCATTAGTCTACCATAGCTACAGATGGAATAGACAGTTGGAGCTGGGCGTCTTCCTGCTCACTAAACCCTGTTACCTCTTCAGCATTTGACACCTCCCCCTCACAGTCTGCTCCTTCTCCTCCCTCTGACCACTCACTGTCATCCCACCACCAATCCCCTAGCTCTAAGCCAGCGGTTCTCAACCAGTGGGTCCCCAGATGTTGTTGGACTACAACTCCCATCATCCCTGAGCTCTGGCCTTGCTAGCTAGGGGTGATGGGAGTTGTAGTTCAACAACATCTGGGGACCCACAGGTTGAGAAAGGCTGCTCTAAGCCTTACTTCCTTGGGGGTTCCCCAACTGGTGTCCCCACCCACTCCTCTGAATCCAGCCAGTCCATAACAGCAGCCTAAAAGAGGCTTCCTGCCACTGATCTAGTTATACTTATCCGCAGGAAGCCAGAAGTTGTTACATGATCTTAAACATATGGTATTCTGTTATAAGAAATATACATATAAATGCAAATCATATCTTCCATTACCATATAAGGCATATAGTATCAGGAGTCTGATGATTGTGCTGTTAACACAATTATTTAATAAGGATAAACAAACATAGCTGACACCACTTTGACAAATTCAGCTGAACTGGAAACTACATTGATGAAGTAATAGTAGTAAATATAGTATTACCGGTACATCCAATTCTATTTTGATCTTTTGCATGCTAGACAAATAGTTACCAGTGATGCACTTCATCTCTCAAGAGAGATTAATGCGACAGTAAAACAAAAAACAAGAAAACCCAGTCATGTCACAGTGTCACCTGCCACCTAATTAATCTGTGAAGTGGCACTAATGGCCTTGAAAACAGTTAAATGCTTTGTCAACCAGTTAGAGAAAAGTGTCATGATCGGTCAACTAGTGTGTATTCTGCAGAAATGGATAAGCCAAGCTTGATGAAGACAGCAGCTACACACTCATGGGTCTGAAGGAACTTTTAAAAAAGGGGGGGGGAGGAATGAAGTGGAAAATACTGTATGTTGGCTATTTAAATAGGAAAGGAGGAAAAAAGGATGTGTGTTGAAAATTCTTGCTTTGTAAGAGATAAACAGTACACATGCATTCTCAAAATATTTTAGTAGCTTTACAATGGAAATTACAACAAAAAAAGAGAGTATCTTAGGAACATATTTTGTGGAGCATAAAGGAATGCTAACCAACTTAAATTGCAACAAATTGGTTTTTACATATTGCAAAAATGTTACATTGAATAATAAAAAGTAGCCTCTATTTAAAAGTGACATAAGATTAAAAAGCTACTTGTAGTTGCAAATATAACTGCCAACAATATGCTTGGTTTTAGATGAAAACAAAAGGGTTTTTCCCCTCTGGCATTAAATCATGCATGAAAGGAGGACAATTTTTTTAAAAAACTGCATATGCCTCACATGCTGCTTCAAAATGGCAAAGCTTTGCGTGTCTGGCTCAGTGCCAGTTGACAGCTCAGCTGGATATCAATGCACATTCTGACCCCCCTTGCAGCGTGTCACTTCTGAATTGTTTCCGCAGTAGAAAGTTTATTCAACCTCTTTCTCAAATGCAGTGGACCGACCATCATTCTGCTATTTAATCATAGCAGAACAGGTTATTTTTCTGACAGCACTAAAGCCAGAGAGCAATTCCTAATGAACAGCTTGATACAAGTGGAATTTCGACTGTTTTAGCCTCAATTAATTCTGCTGTCAAAACAAATGATTGCTCTTAGTACTTAGATGTTAAGCTGGATCACAAAGGTCAATTTTGTATGTACAAACACACAAGCAATCTTTTCCTTGCTAACATCTGATGCCATTTCATATTTAGCACCAACAAATTTTCAAATTGAAAATGAGAGATATATAAACTGTCAGTCAATAATATTCTCCAACAGTAGCTTTTTCTGACTGATAAATAAAAACCAAGCCACTCTCTAGTCTAGATAACTCTGTGGCTATATTTAGACTTGGAAAGACAAGATGCATTTTTATCTCTTCCACATCAATACAACAAAACAAAGTCACTAAACATGTTAATCAAAAAATCTAGCATGTGAAAAGAAATGCAATACGTATTGTTTACAAATATTTACTATGATTGGCAACTGGCCTTAACTGCAGAGATACTAAAGAATCAAAGCAGCCCAATTACTTAGGGGTTTCCCCTTTAGAACAACAATAGGCCAGTAGTACCTGTGTCACTGAAGGTAAATGCATGTCAAATTCACAATATTCCATTTCATATTCTTTACACCTGAAAGGTTCTATCAAGACAAGTCCAGTGACAATGAATTTTAATAATTTAACACAATGCCAGGTTATATTCCCTGGGTTACAGAGAGTCAGTGATCACAATACAATCAGCACACTCAAACAATATCCATGACATTAATTCATGGTACTAAAATGAGAATTAAGAAACCAAAGACAAAAAAAAGGAAACACAATAAAGATAAATCTCAAAACATTTTTGTGAGCTCCGAAGGATGACATGTCAGACCTAGATATATCTTTGTAGGATTTTATCCTGCTGTGAAAGGTTAGTTTTATGCTTATTAATTGATGTCCTAACAAAAATTCACCAAGATGCTATGTTAAAGGGGAAGACCATGTATCAGATTATTTGACCATACACCACTATGATCATACCTAGATTACAATTCAGCTAGTCATGACCCAATCACATTGCAACAGAACAGTTCAATCATGACTAATGTAAATCCAATTACTGACTTTCATCACACAACTAACTTTAACCAGAGTGGATCCAGATCAATTTCCCCATGAAATAAAGAACTAGTGCTGGAGCTCTGTCTTGTCTGTGATCAGCAAAGAAAACAAGATGCATTAGATCTTGTTATTCTAACAATATATGAACAAGAAAATGAAACAATGAGGTTCAGGATAATTTTGAATATTATGGGTTGTATCCAAAGTTGTCCATATGCATATGTAATGTAATTCCATACACACAATGGGAATTCACATTACTCTTTGCAGTCCCTTGCACACCCTCAAAATCTGCTTTAACATTGGAGGACCCTCTGGAGCAGGTTTTTTAAAATGCAGGGAGGGCAAGAGGAAGTTAAAGGCCAGTGGCTTTACCCACAAATGTACTGGATGTTTTAGTATACGACATTATGCCATTGTTACCCAGAAGATTAAGACTCAAAATATACAAATCTTGTGTATGTTTTCTACTTTCTATTCCTCCAAACAATCTAAGGGTTTATCCTGTTGAAGTCCAAGCTGTATCTTAGTACAGTGAATGCTTGGGCTGCAAACGTGATCCATGCGGGAGGCAAGTTCGCAACCCACAGCAATCGCAACCTGCAGTGCTGCGTCTGCGCATGCGCAATTTAGCGCTTCTGCACAAGCGCCGAAACCCAGAAGTAACCTGTTCTGGTACTGTATGTTCTGGCGTATTAGGCGACTGGGCGTATAAGATGACCCCCCCCAACTTTTCCTGTTAAATTATAGAGTTTGGCCTCCGCCGCCCTCACCTGTGGGGATGCCCAGCTCTTTGGAGCCCTGGCCGAAGCAGCGCACCACCTTGCTGCGGCAGGCTCTTCATGGCGTCCATGAGCTGAGCGAAGCCCCGTGCGGCCACAACAGAGGCCGGATCCGGCTCCCATGACGGCAGCAGCAGGCATGCGGGTGAGCACCACACTTGGAAGGACTTTCCGCAGTGAGGAGAGAGCAGCGGCCAACGAACACGCGCTGTGCCGGTACGGAAGAGGCGGGGCCTCGCACTGCATCACAGGAGGCTGCGTCCCCTTCCGTGGGGAGGGAGGAGGAGCGACGGCAGAAGGGGAACCTCTGCTCACCAGCTCCCTCTCCTCCTTCCCAACAGGTGGCTCCGCATATACCCAAGCGTATAAGATGGCCCCCAACTTTTGGGGTGGTTTTCCTGGGTTAAAAAGTCATCTTATATGCCGGAACATACGGTACTTCTGGGTTCAGCATGGTGCGCAACCTGAACACATGCAACCTGAAGCGTCTGTAACCCGAGGTATGACTGTAGTCTTGTATACCCATTTTTTATCTCTTCCACACTTCTGATAATTTCCGTAGTAGTGTTAACCAGTTGAACTACCAGAACAGTCTAACCTTTCCAGCACTTTAGAATGTGTTTTACATACATGCATAAGAGCAAATGCAAACGAGTTCAGGGTTCTTGTACCTTTAAGAGTTGTGTACAGGTGAGGAACCATAACAGGTTTCACCTCCTTGAATATTAGCTGGGGCAGGCCATGGGTTTTGTAAATCATTTATGTATACTACTAGATCACAACTTTTAACTACTGCATCATGCACACTCCCAGTGAATTAAAAAAGAAATAGTAAAACTGATTTCCTCCAACTCTATCAACCTGAGATTCTCTCCTTTTCCTATTTACACTACTCATCTGCTCAGTCAAATAATGCCCTACTGTAACTTCAGTCTGCCAAAATAAAAAAGCAATACCTGTTTTTAAAAACTGAAGCAGCACTGCAGAAAGTTGCACAAGCAATTCATCTACAAAGCACAGAAAACCAGAGACTACACCGTTTCTGTCCTTTAATATACACTGTGGGCATATCTATATTCAAGCAAAATATGGAAGCTGAGAAGGCAAAATGTATTCAAGTATTACCCTTAAAATAAGGGAGAACTAATTGGGTCTAGTACAGGTGCCAATGTGGTCTGTAAATTCCTGGTTGGAATTTCTACAGGGGTTGTAAAAATCAATTGCAATGTATTTGTTTTGCATTCATTTAAGCTCTGATTAAGTTGTCAAAGCTGAACTTTTTTTGCATTTTATTGTAATTCAACATCAACTTTGCTGTGTGCATGCACTTATGTATGGTGTCTACAGGTATTGTGCTCTCCTTTGAATACAATGATGTTCAATTAAAATGAGGGTTAGCTAACATTCTCTTGGCCCTCCTAACTTTCCTGATCTGCAGCATACACTCCAGTTGGACTTCTAACATGGTGCTTTTAAACAACTCTCAAGCATCTGAATGAATTTACCTTTTTGACTTTGCCTTTCAAATTCCTTTTTACAAATCCCTTCATTTTGGACAAGTTTCTTGTTTTGAAATCAAACGTGACCGTGTTGAATTTTCTTAGCAATCAGTCATTTACATGTATATTTAATAGCACTGTGGTCACTGCTCCCAACTGACTTAACAACACATATCTGATGCCAGGTCATGGATACTGCTAAAGATTAAGTCCAAGGTCACTGCCCCTCTGGTCAGTTCCATGACCAACCATTTTAAGATACAGTAATTTGGGGTATGTAGAATTTTACCTCTTTGGAACATATATGTAGTCAGTCTACATCAGGGTAGTTGAAATCAGCCATTTCTACAACATTTCCTCCTTTGGATTTTATGTGCGTTTAATGATCCCGGAAAAAATAATTTTAAAAAAGGTTTCTATTTTTAGAATGAGGACAGCTGGAAGCTGATTTACAATCCTATACATGTTTATTCAGAAGTAAGCCTCACTCCCAAGCTACATGGGCACAAAACTGCAGCCCTTGAAGTCTTGTCTCTACTGGGATTTTCCTATACTACATCAAATAAGATGATGCTAAGTAATATATGCACATTAGTCATGGAAATTAATGCCTTGGAAACATGTAACCGATCTGCAGAACATCAGAATGCTAGCCTAGAAACAAATGTGACAAGGTTTAAAAATATTGTGCAACAAGTGCAGAACAATTATGGTAAACTTGGCAGCTGTTTGCAGAACACAGCTATTAATTTTTATGGCCTATTTTAAGCATAACACAATTAGGCAATAAAAAAATACAGCTGAAGACAGGAAAGAATATGATTGGAGAATCAATAATTTAATCTGTTTGAATGTCACATGGAAGGAATTTAACCTTTGTTTGACTGGAAATAAAAGATTTCAAAACTATTTTTATATTGTAAGAATGTAAGAAGAGCCTGCTGAATGAGGCCAATGGCCAACCAGGTGCCCATAGGAAGACTGCAAGGAGGACTTGAGCAAAACAGAATTCTTCCCTTCTTCCATTGTCAGTGACTGTAGCAATGACTTGTAGCAATTGATAACCTCATCCTGGATGAATTTGTCTAATCCTCTTAGACATCCTTAAAGCCATCCAAGTAGATGACCATTATTACTTATTGTGGGAGCAAGTGCCAGAGTTTAACTATTCACCAACTGAAGAAGTACTTTCTTTTGTCAGTCCTGAATGTTCTAACATTCAGTTACTGGATGTCCACAAGTTCTAGGTTTATGGGGGGGGGGAATCCCTGAACACTTTCCCTACACCATATATACCTTTATGATGTCTCCTCTTACTCACTTTATCTCTAAACCAAAAAGCACCCAAAACTATAACCTTGCTTTATAGCGGAGTTGCTCTATCCCCTTGATAATTTTGGTTAACCTTTTCCAGCTCCACAATATCCATTTTGAAGTGCGGTGACCAGAACTATACACTGTAATCAAAGTATATTTGCACCCTAGATTTCTATGGCATTATCATGTTGGCTGTTTTATTTTCAATTCCTTTCCTAATGATACCCAGCATGGAATTCACCTTTTCACAGTTGTCCCCCCCCCCACAGCATTTTTTTCCTTTGAACTGGCATTATCCAGACAAAAAAGAATCATGATAGTGAACTAAATATCTGCATTCATTACTACCAGTAAATTACAGTTATATATGCATAGTATCAATTATTCAAGAGGAGCATAGATGGAGGAGTGTGTGTGCGCACATGCGCATTGAACACTGGAAGATAATATCAAGCAATCTTTTATTTAAAAAAAATACCAAATCAATTATTTTGTATCTCTTACCAGGTCGCTCTTTGCCTGTGCCTTTCGACTCAGCAAATTTTTGTATCAAACTTTCAACTGTTGTGTTTGCCATGTTATTTATAAATTCTTCATGTACCTTTGAGAAAAAGAACACTAGTAAATATAACTTTGTGGGCTTCAGCAATTTGCACACAAACGGATTGTTCAATTATTACACTTCCCATCTTGCTCTTATAAGTAAAAAGTGTCAGGCTGGGACTCAAAAAACCATAAAACTAGTTCTGTAAGCCTTAGGGTTGTTTTCCTCAAACATTCCCTATGGTGACTGGCAAACTGCTTTTAGTTTCAAAAGCAATTTGTAAATATGATTGGGGGGTGTCAGCTGTTTGAAGTAAATATTATCACAGAGCTAGCACAATATTGTTGACTATGTCTTGGCCAGTCTTTGGATTTTAGACACTGTATTGTTAATATAATAAGCTAGGACTACTACGCCCCTCTAAGATCCTGAAATGTGTGTCTTATATGAACAACTTAGTTTCTTTAAAAAGTTGTTTGGGTCCAGACCTGTCTGCAAATGGCATACTGAGGGTCTCTTTCAATACCAACATATTAGGATTACTCAGAAAATCTGAATGATAGAAATACATTCTGTCTCCCTCAAGGTCACTTTCATTTTTAGTATAAGCATGATATAGTTCTTTATAATTGATATAAACATGCAGTAATATAAATTAAACCATACCCAGGTCTCAATCTAAGTTAAATCCTAATAAGAATTTGGCCAAAACAAAAAAAGGGTAAAGAAACAATTTCAAAATCATAAACACCATCCCTTTGATCTCAAATATCTGTATTTTTAGCTCAAAACCTAATGATTTGGGGAATAAAAAATAAGTTTTGCTTAGTGTTATTTTTTAACCATATGCAAAAATGCCATATCAAACATTCTAATAGTATAATGAATACTGCACAACTATAAAAATACTAGAACACAAGGTACAATAGATATAAATGTTATGGTAGGTTGTTTTTAGATCCTAGTTGGGCAAAACTGATCTCTTTAATTACATGAAGAAAAAAATTAAAGTTTTAGAATTCAAACAGTCAAGATGACGATAAAAGCATTCAGTATGGAAATTCAGCAGTCAAACGTTTTACTCCTGGAAATGAGCTATGAGACAAGATTCATTTATGCTAAATGTCAATAGAGATATATTTTCCACTTTGTGGCCTAAGCGAAGAGTTTTCTTCATTTTAGAGTCAGGGCATACCTTTTTAATAGTAAATAAAGGGGACCAATCCCTCCAAGTAATTTGTTTGGTAACAAGCCAAAATAATTATGCCCCATGCCAGATTACACCAGAATGGAGGCTGCCAATGTGGTGCCCTTCAGATTTTGTTGAACTGTAACTCCCATCAGTGCCAATCAACATCACCAATGCTGAAGAAAGACAGAGAGTTGTCCTCCAACAACATCTGGAGGGCACTACATTGACTGAAGTGTCCTTGTCCCATGCGACAAAGAGCAACAACCTAGTCACATTGTTTTCTCATGCTACCACCAGATCTCTGGATCAGGGTTGTTTCAGAGTTGTGAATATATGAGTTCCCTGTCTGGGCCAATTATAAGTTATACTCAAACCACACTAAAATGGAACCCATTTAGAAACTGTTTTGACTCAGTGCCACTCCGCAAGCCCTCCCACTGACCAGCCCACCCTTTTCCCAATCTGACCCTGCACTGAGGAAGGGTGGAATGATTTAAGGAGCATCAAAGCAGCAGAAGATACCCAGTTCTGATGCAATCTAAAGATACTGGGAAAACATGTGAACTAGTAGCAGATTGTAGTTTCCAGCGCTTCCCACTACCAGAGGTCTCAGACAAAGACCACTGCTGCACCTGAGGTTAACCTCCATCATCTCAAGTGAAGCTCCCTCACAACTAGACTTTTGTAAAGATGTCTTTTCTCTCTTAGCAACGTAAGTATGAAAAGTGAGGGTCTGATGGTGGGGTGTTCCCACAGACTTAAGCTCTATGGGCCCAAATATGCTTTTTATTTCTTCTTATCCTAGAAGTAAATACCAAAATTATTTTTACATCTAGATACAGGTAATGGAGGAACAATCTATAAAACTTGATTGAAAGTTTATCACACACCCATATCTTCCTCCACACCTACAGCAGCAGATTAAATACAACTCCTGCTAAATTTGGATACCTACGAACTTCAGTGAAGATGAACTACATCTTAATTTATAGCCTGAATAATAAGAGCTACTATAAAAAACTCACCTCGCCAATTTGTAAGTGAACTTCTTTGACTGTATTTGAAAAACATTCTATAATCTCTTTCATATGGAACAGATGCATTTCTTCAATGTCTTGAAATTTCTGCAGAACAAATAAGTGTTGTTTTTAGGGCTTATTTAGAGTTAAAACAGCTTAAGTCAAAACTGGATTTAAAATACTGATATACTGAACTGTCCACTGAGCTCCCATAATTAGCTTGCTTTCACATTTGGGATTGTGGAATACATTCATCAGTTAAGCTGTATCTAGTCTTGGTTCTAACTCATCCTTCAGCTGCTTAATATTGCAAAGACTCTACCATCATGTGACAAAGTAAAGGCCCTATGCACAGTAACTGAAAATTCACTTATACATAGTACAGCTTCTTCTGTTTTTCAAAATTCCACTGGATGCTTATTTTCGCCGTTGAATCCCTGACATGTCAGGAAATTCCAGACTATTGCAACCCTACCTAAAGTCTATACATCTCAGCCACATGTAACGATTTCAGTAAATGCACATTACTACTGCAAGAAAGTTACGGTCTTAATATGATGAGTAGAAAAAATCTTTCCCCCTATACAATCATGTTTGAAAAAGACCCCATTTTGTGGGTTTTAAGAGTTTAAGACAGCACACTTAAAAACTGAAAAATAAATATGAGGCTAAAAAAAGCCCGTGTGAGGTTTAGCCTTCATTGACTACAGCTGCCACTTCTGCTTTATTAGACTTATCAAATCCTGGCATATATATTTTACATTCAAAATTTTGAACTTAATTTGATCAAGGAAATTATATCAATCTTTTTTATTTGTTTGTTTTACTTTTTTACTCTGTCCTGTTTGCAGTCACCAACAACTTCCAATGGACCCAATTATATTGATATTCAGTTCAATCCTATAAATGCCAACGTACTTTTAAAAATTGATATGCCAAATCTAATCAAAATAAAGAGATGTGCATTAAGAATCTTCCAACAAGTATGCAATGTGAAGCTTCTGTTCTAGTGCAACACAAAGAACTAACTTAAAATACACAAACTCAAACACAGTACAGTTTGTTTGCTTTGCAAATACGACATTCCTTGCCAAGGAAGCTCTCAGCTTGCCTTAAATGGCAGGCATACTTCACATATTTTTCATGTTTATGTTATTTCTCTATTTATTAACAACAGTTTTAGGACCAAAAGTTAAGTGTTTAATATCAAAATTAAAATGGCAATATTCAAATAGCACAACAAATTCCACAATAAATTTGATCCAGGTGAAAGAAGCAAATCATTATGTAAGAAGAAATTAGCTAGGGGGAGTATAATGTTGTTTCTCTATCCCATGCACTTAAAACTTATCCAAAAGTATTTCCTGACACAAAAGTTCAAATTCTGAACTCAGAACTTAAAGCCAACTGTGCAGATTAGGAACACTTTTATTTAATTTGCTGACTGTATTCTCTTTTTCCAGACTCCTTGGAAAATTGTAAGTGAGAAGAGCAGAGACTGTGCAAATTATAGTGTTTGCCTTGCAGATACTGAAAAGGTTTACCTGTGCAGTTTCGGTCATTTTTTGTTCAAAATCAGATTTTGCTGCAGCATATTTTTCAACATAGAGTTTATATGTATCGGTAGCCTTCTTGGATTTCACTGCTGCCTAAAATAAAGTAATAAAATAATAATGATTGTAGGGAAGGAAGAAATAACAAGGCATACTTTTTACAATCAATTTAGCTGACTTACAATTTCATGTTTTGCTCCCTCACAGTAATTTCCAGTTCTTACCACATGAGGGCTCATGCAAACAACATACCACATGAAATTAAGTTGCTATATCACCTTGCAATGTTAAAACACAGTTGTTAGTAATCTCTAACACATTTTAAAATAACTCTGAGTTTATTGAAACTCGAAGGGGAAACATAGAACAAGATGGCAGGAAGATGACAGTAAGAGCTGTTCAACAATGGAACAGACTCCCATGAGAGGTGGTGGACTCTCCTTCCTTGGATGTTTTTAAGCAGAGGTTGGATAGCCATCCGTCATGTGTGATCTAGTTGACATTCTTGCATTGCAGGCGGTTGGACTAGATGACCCTTGGGATCCGTTTCCAGTTCCACAATTCTATGATCTATGATTCTATTTTTCCCGCAGTAGAAAGTTTTATTCACCTCTTTCCAAGATGCAAGTGACGACCATCATTCTCTATTTAATCAGAGCATAAACAGGTATTATCGACAGCACTAAACCAGAGCATTCCTAATTCGAAAGTTGATAAAGGGAATTTGCTGTTTTAGCCTCAATAAGTCTGTGTCAAACAAATGATTGCTCGTTATACTAGATAGTTAACTGTTCACAAGGTCTAATTTGTATGTACAAAAACACAAGCAATCTTTTCCTGCGTAACATCTGATGCTTTCATATTTACACCAACAAATTTCAATTGAAGAATCAGAGATATAATATGTCAGTCAAGAATATCTCCAACAGATATGCTTTTTACTGACTGTAAATTAAAAACCAAGCCACTCTCTAGTCTAAAACTCTGTTGCTAATTGATTGACAGACAAGACATTTTTATCTCTTCCATCAATAAAACAAAATCAAAGTCACTAAACTATTTAATCCAACAAATCTACATTGAAAAGAATGCTAATACGATTGTTTACTATTTACTATGATTGGCAACTGCCTTAACTGCCAGAATACTAAAGAAATCAAAGCAGCCCAATACTTAGGGTTCCTTATAGAACAACAACTAGCCAGTATACTGTGTACACTGAGTGGTAAATGCATGTTCAAAATTCACAATATTCCATTTATATCTACACCTGAAATTCTATTCAAGACAAGC